GCGCTACTAATTTGAGGTGCCACTAGTTTGAAGCGCCATTACTTTGAAGCGTCACTAATTCGAAGCGCTGTTAGTTTGAGGCGCCATTAGTTTGAAGCGCTACTAATTCGAAGCGCCATTAGTTTGAGGCGCCACTAATTCGAGGCGCTATTAGTTTGAGACGCCACTAGTTCGAGGCACCACTAGCTTAAGGGCCTCTCTGAGAAGGATCTCTGAGAAGGCCTCTAAACTCCAATGCTTCCTCCCTTTCCTACAATATCCCGCCAAACAACGCAACCCAGCGAAAGGAACAACGCGATAAAGAAGGAAACGACGATGCACACTGCTCGAGCGAAGCACACCAGCCAACGTAGCGCGACTAAAAGAATGCAATATCGCCATTGAACCGTCAACTTATAGAATTTCATATCACCGAGGCAGAGAACCTTTTTTCACCGTTCAATACTGTGCGTCGCGGCGGAACGACCCACGGTGTCGACGACGACTTAAGGTTCGAATCTCGGTTCAGTGAGCTTCCATATAAAATTCAGCGAGGTCCGTGTTTCATTGATAAAGGCGGCAAAGCAGGGATAAAATGTATAATATCGAATCGCGGGACTTGGCGCCGAGATAATCTTCCGCGTCGCTGGCCATCGGCTGACGGAATTTATTTTCAAACTGTCGATTCCCGTAGGAGCATTTCTACGGATTTGTTCGAATGAAAGGCGTTCGCGAGGCAGAAAATCGCTGAACGCATTATTATTATTATTGGTGACGAGAAAGGAAGGAGATCACTTTTAAGGTACGCACTTTTCCTAGATTTTCTGGCAGCCGAAAGAAACTGCGACGATACGTCGAAAACCGGGACACGTTCGAGGGAAAGAAGAGAAACGACCTTCTTGTTCGTTCCTCGAGCGACGCGTAATTCGTGACGATCCGATTAAGTGTCGATGCAATCAGAATGCTTAATGAAAATTGTCGGACAACGTTGATTCAGCGACATTCATTTGAATCGGAGCCGAAGGGGGTCGTATTCGAATAGATGCGCAATTTCCATTTGGGAAATGCTTCGTTACGGTACACCACTTCGAATTTTTCTTTTAGCAGAAATCCCCGCACAGTTTATGTCACTTTATACGATTTACCAATGAGCCATTGTTCGGACGTACGATTTTCCGATTGTGCGTAATAAACGAACTGCGGATTTTTACGCGTTCGTAGGAAATTTGAATACGCGAGAAACTACGATTTCGCACCCTCTCCGAGAAAGTTATTCGGTATAATTTCAAAGAAATTGTTTCGTACTTTTCGATGTAGTAATATTTTTCGAAGTCGGTGACATTATTTTTTTCCCCCAATAATTGTTTCATCTTTCGTTTAGACTCCTACGATATTATACACACAGTAGAAATGAATAAATCCGACGTCGGACGATTGCCGCGCGCAGATGCAGGAAGCGAAGAAAGGCTCCGAAAAATTGCAAATTAATCGAATGGAAGTTTCGACTCCGGTCCGAGTTTTAAACGTTTCTCGCAGTACCGTGCAGATTGAATTCTTTCGCGCTGCGTTCCCATCTGCCGCGTTCCCGTTGAAAAATATGAGAACACGCCGAGCACCGGGATACGGCGAAACAAATGTTTGGAGCGCAGAGCGAATTAACGTCCCGTAACGCTTAATAATTCTTCGCGGCTTACGACTGGACAGCTTTCAGAGTTTTTGGCGGCACTATTATTGGACACTTTCTTCCGATTCTCGCGTCTAAACTTAGACGCGGGGTGAGAAAAGCGTCGTGTACGTTTCTAAAAGCTCCGCGTCGAAATAGAACCTTTACAACTTTGATCTATTTTTTTTCTGAAATCCATTCTGTAAACGGTGCCGGATTGGATAGACAAAACGTGTAGAACTAGACGATTAGACGGCTCGAAGAAATGATACGCTAGAGAAACGGCAGCTGTCCGCGAGTCTGAATAGGTGAAACCTAATAAAAAAACGAAAGATCGTTTGGACGTAGGGACGTTGAACGAAATGCTTCGAAAAATAATAATATCTTTTACTCGAGCACGAGAATCATTATTAATGAGATACAGTCGTAAGAAGCTGTCCGGTGTCCAGATTACTCGAAGCTATAAATCAACAAATATACGTATTTACGATGGCTGATATCAAAGAATCGTCTCAATCGCGAGAAGCAAGGACTCGAGCATTAGGAATACAGAACCCTGCCCGAAGGAAGCTGCGTTTGCTATGAGCGAAGAAGTAGATCACCGCTAGCAGAAGATTTTTAAGTAAGCGTGATACATCCAACGAGCGAGAATAATAGGGAACGATACTGCAAAACAACAGACCAGCTCCACGTAAAAATGAAGAAACCGAGCAAAGTTTCGAGGATGAAGATCTTCGGAGACCCGGGCTTCGTAAACAATGGTCTTGGTGCGTCTCGCGAGAACGTTTGCCAAAAAGATGCAACGGCAAAAAACGGAAGCGCTGGAAAGAATTGCTTCCGTTCATCTTGGTAGGAGAGACATCGAGTAAGTGGAGGAACGGTACACCGGAAAATAATAGTGTCCAGGGCGTCGTGCCAGTTTATCGGGACACCTTGATGGCCAGACGAGCATCCGTTCGGGAATCGTAAATCTCGTCCGTTCGTTGAATGGAAGAATTAATCCTGACCTATTAAAGGATCGGAACGCTGCGACTGATAAATTACGCGACAATTAGCCGTAGGTAATGAAAAAAAAAAAAGTTAAGTAGCGTTCTCGAGTTTCCGAATATCTCGAATTAGAGACGATCGCGTCAGCTGTTGGATTACGGGTGGAAGTAATGAAATGATATACTATACTTTTGTATAAAATGCGGTCAAATTCGCTATAGAGGTTGTCTCTCTCAACCAACCGACACCCCAACGGTCGAACTCGAGTTTCGACGCCGGTATTTATTGTATTTATTGTAACGGGCTTATCATCTCGCACTTTTAATTACCGAAGAATCAACCGACCAGATCAACATCAGCCGTCGCGAAACAAAACATCGATCGATCCTCCCGTTTGACAGATTTTTAATCTTAGCATCCTCGGTATCGGCGCGCACTCGAAGGAACGTTGCGGAATTCATTCCGGCGATCTTCTTTCCACGGTTATTTATATCCTCGGAGGCAAATATCGGCAAGAAACGTGAGTATATCAAGCTTCCAGGGATTCGATTGAATTCTTGAAACACTGCGCGTACGCGTCGTAAAGGCAAATAATACAGCGAGCGACGCGACGAACGGTAGAAGATATTAATCGCGATCCTCGTTGCAATGATATTTGTACACGAACGTAAAAACGAGGATCGACGCTTCGTACTAACGTATTCGCCGCGAGAGTCTGGATTTTAATGACCGTACGGATCTTTTTCCGGTGGTTCGGTGAAATGGGAAAACAAAGCGCGTAATCGTCGCTCCTGTAAAAGGTTCGTTTACTTTCGTGTACTAATAGATCATGTTTCTTTCGTTTTCAGGTAAAGCGGTGCCGTTTGTGGAGCTGACCGTGGCGCATGCCTCGGTTCTTACGATCTTGGCGATCAGCTTCGAACGGTACTACGCTATTTGCGAACCTCTGCGGGCGGGGTAAGTAAATAAACAAAATCAGTAAGTATCTTCTAAGTTTAGCAATAAATACGTCAGTCTTCGTTGATACTCCTTTCGTGTAAATATATAGCAGAAATAACAGAGAACATGGGAAACAGTGAAGCATACAGTCAACAAATATTCGTACCCTCTGTGTCTATCGAAGAAGATCGACTAAGCTTGATAAGCTTGTATAGGGTGTCCCACCCTATATGTACAGCGACATATTTATGCAAACGTACACTTGGAAACATCGAACCTACCATTTAATTCAAACAAATTTCTTCGATAGACACAGAGGGTGACATTGAGTCTCGTGGATCAATCTTCGTAAATTTTCACGTCAGCTTCAAGTGTTAAAAATAGTGCAAAGTCGCGACGAATTGCGTAGGAACGTTGGTCGTCGTTCCCAATTGTCAGTCACGAGCCGGTACTAATATTTTCGTATTCGCGTGATTTCTCTACGGTTGTCCCGTGTCGCTTCAATCGTCGCCGCTTTCCCAGTATCGGCTCGATTGGTATTAGAGCCGTGTTTCCCATCGATCCTAGATGTCAGTCACGATTCCGTGAGAGACACCGTTCGCGAAACAGTTGCTCGACGAACGGCCGATTTCTATTCGGTTTTTTCCAGATACGTGTGCACCAAGGCCAGGGCGACGTTCCTCTGCCTTCTGGCGTGGGTGGCAGCGGCGCTGTGCACAAGGTGAGGAGATGCAAAAATTAAAAAAAGAAAAAAGAGAGTAGTAGACGCGCGAGCATCAACGCTTTCCACGTTTACTTTCCAACCGACGCTTGCCGCGCTTGTTTCGTTTGCTTCGTCCAGCCTTCCCTCGATCCATCTCGCCTTCTTTCGTTCGCGCTCGATCCTCGCCACCGCGTGCCTAGATCGCGCGGAAATTCTCCTTAACGAAGGACGAAAATACTCGCTCTTATCTTCGACTATTTTTCCTGTGCTTTGAAAAAAAAAAAAAAAAGAAAACGACTTATTCTCCCTGCTTCGACGGCTTATTCTCCTTGCTTTTCCTTGCGTCGCGAGTACGTAACGAGTACGTGACAAGTGATCGTTCAGGCTTGGATACGTTTCGTTTCTCCGATATTCGCAAGCTTCACCCTAATTTATGCGATGTCGTTTCGCTTGTTCGTAAATTACGCATCCGTGCAACTTCCCTCCCACCCTCCGCTGCCATTTTCGAGCATACTCTCGAAAACGAGCCAGGTACCGTTCGCACAAATCACGAAATTAATATCCCGGCTCTCGTCGTCGCGTTTACAAATGTAGAGGATTACGCTCGACGATATCGAGCATAACTGCCCCGAGTATGTAAACACAGGCTCGGAGCGGCTCGACGCCGAGGTGCGAACCTCCTAACTGCAGTGAATCACGCGGCAGTTAACGGGCGCAATAACGTTTGTCCCGTTAAACTCCCGAGTATTTACACGCGCGTACGGCGCGCCGTGCGAACTCAATGGATTTTACATTCGACCCATTGTTTTCCCACCGACAATTCGTATTCCTGTCCATACGGGATGAAACATTCGAAACGAGGCGCGCGGTCGTTCATTTTTAGAGGCAGAAGTGAACGATCGAGGTAGAAGTACCATTTCGTGTCATTATTTTTTCTTTAACTCAACCCTTTCCGTAAACTCTCTCGTTTGTTGAGTCTATAGTGCTTGGGGACCTGCTGACTATATTCGCTCTCCTTTTTATTTGTTATTGCACTTATCTTTATTCACGATTTTTCGCCCTAGGCTTTCTCCAAACTTCGTATATTTGTCAGCCAGCCCTAACCGAACCATGGAACTCTGGTTTCTGGACTCCAGAAACTCTCTAATAAACTCTAACTCGTGGGCACGTAAAAAAAAAGAGAAAAGTGCTCGGTGTCGAGAAAAATTGTGCCAAGGATCGTCCAAATGATTGTTATTTTATGCGAGCGCGAAAATCAATACGATCCCGAAATCCTACGTAAATATAGGATGGTACACTGGAAGAATCCTCAGGCCAGGTACCTTTCGACAATCGAGGTCCTATTGTACGGCGAACGGGCAACCATACGTGGACAAAAGGATTCAATTTCTGGATCGTAAAGTCCACATGTCGAGCGTTGTTTCTTCCACGAGCTGGCCGAGATGAAAGCGAGCGTGGCTGCCGCATCTTAAGGTCATGCCAGGACTGCGAGGGTGTCGTAAAAGGAATATTACCCGTAAACCACTTCCCATGAATGACTTCGCTACGCTATTTCGTCTCGTAGTTCGCGGCTTGTCGAATCCTGAGATCACGCGGATTCCACGTCGGCGAATTTATATATATATATATATATATATACTTTTTTTTATCAAAGAGTACTCGAGCCGAATCGAACGAAAAAAAGTACAACGGAAAATCTGTGGAAGGTAACGAGTTTTTCTTTCAGTTTTCCACTGAAATTTATCGCGAATTTTATTGCGCATAATTGCTTTTCCAATCGCCATTGGCGTGCCCATAAATCGTTCCGTTGAGTGAGGATTTATTCGACTCGACCGTTCTATCTATCTCACTGCGAACGGTATTTGTTCGGTTTTGGAACGTTTAGCCAGGCGCAAATTGTATCAAGCTTTTTGTGGTCGTAATTAGGGCAATCACGGGTCCGCAAACAACACTTAACCGATTCGTGATCGCGCAGAGGGACACGATTTTAAGCGTCTGCTCGGACCGGAGACAATGGGCGTTTGACAAATTTACTTAACGCGATCTGCCTCCGGTTTGCTAAACTCGAGTCGACTCAACTTTTTACGTAGAATTAGATAACAAAATTCTATTTCCAGTTTTAGATCCACCTCTGTTGGATCGAACAGTAACGTTATCGATTCCGAGCGGATAAATGAAATTAACTTTTAGCTCGACTGCTTTGTCGTTCTCCCGGTAATCTTTTTCGTGAAACAAAGCGAAATGGAGCCGTTCTTTACGCGCCGGGGATTCGTTTGTTCCTCGTCGATACATTTAATTACGCAAAGTGCTCGCGTGTGGCGTTCCTACTTAATGTTTCAGAAGCGATAGCTGCATCGGGGAGATAGAACTCGATCAGACGAATACTGATGTAATTTCAGAAGAGCATTCGTAATTTCAGACGGGGACCATTCTTCTTCCACGTTTCTACCGATCGAAACGTAACCTCCTGTTACGGGTTGTAGGTTGATTTTTTCATAGGAATTGGTGGACGGGCAATCGCTACACTTCTACATTACAATAACGGGCAAAGGATTGCAGAACCTGAAGGTGCTTGTAATTCCAAAGAATATTTCGTTGGTTGCTACATTTCACTAAATATAGTGAGATATAGAACTGAATATATCGCGCAATGAGTAATTGTACTCGAACTCGTAACGCGCGTGGTCGTACTCGTCTCTTGCCTTCGCAAGCTAAGTTAACTTAGCTAGCTTAGGTTAGCTTAGCTAACCTCCCTAAACACCTCCCTTCGTTTATTTCTGAATAGGGCATTATCGTTTCAATCATTGATTTCTAGGTTCAAAATTCCCGTTTACGCTATCGGTGTTTCTCACGTTCGTCGAGAGCACCCTCTCAAATAGTAACGTTGGGTGTTCGATGTAGCATCATCGTTGGTAGGGACAAAATACATAATCCAGGCTCACGGAACTCGTAGATTACGGGATTATATAAGGGCCTCGGTCGTTGGAAAAATGTTCCGACCCGCATAAAATTCCTCCCGCGAACGGATCTTTGATCTCTTAACGACGGAAGAAATCTGGGAAGCTCGTTCCTCTATTTTCTTTCCGCGTGGGAAGACTTTACGTACTCCGATCCGATGCATAAATTCACGGATTATACTCGACGGGGTAGTCCGGGCATTCTTCGAACATCGATTTACTCGCCTTGCGTTTTCTTTTCATATCCAGATTAATTTTTGTGCTGCAAAAAGATTCGCGAAATTCTTTTACAACTATCACCTGGTACGATTTAATCCTCGCTGAATTCATTTAAAATATTTTTCAACTCTTCCCAATTTCTTACACATATTCTTTGTACATGTAAGATAAATTTATGCTTTCTATCGATTTTCTTTAATAAGAAGCTCTGTTAAACGGTCCAAAATGATTGGAAAATGTCAGCCTTTGTTCCACATCCCGCAACCAACGAAATATTCTTTGGAATTACAAGCACCTCCAGGTTCTGCAATCCTTTGCCCGTTATCGTAATACGTTCTCGTTACGTTCGACTTTGACTAAACGAAAGTTTCCATGCAGCCACGGTTCAAAAGACTTTGAGTTTCAAGAGAACGCTCTCTACCGAGATTGGATACGAATACAGACCGAGGTACACGCAGGAAAATTGCGAAAATAATTTTGTCGCGCTCCTCCTTCGTATATAATTGTTTCAATTAATGCGCGCACTTTTCGAAAACGGTCGAGCTTGTCGCAGAAATAGTTATTACTAGACAGCGGATTTTATGCGTTCGCGATTCAAACTGACGTAATAAACACGTGCTAAATATAACCGAAAGGTATGTGCGTTCATGCAAAATAAAATAATAGTGTTATAATAATAACTGCGAAATATATTCGGCATATACGTATATTATTATCATCATGTATATTTTAAGTACGTGTCATAAGTGTGTAAAATCCTTGATCCAAGTAAGAACATTTTCCACAAAAACGTCCACCGCACTTTGTTTTCTAATAATATAGCAGACTGACGCTTTTTCTCAGCGTGGAAAGTGTCGAAAGAGCCAGAGATCACTCTCGTCGGTAGCCCGTCTGATTAACCATCCGAATTTCTCCTGGAACTTTATTCGACGACGAACGTAGCAAAAAGTTGTGTCCGCGGTTCGCGAAAGTTCGTTCCAACGATACCGAATTGCATGATTCAAGAACCTTCAGCTCCTCGCGGACGAGTTTTTCCTTTCGCAATAAAGGTATAAAATGCGATCGTTCCGCAACGAGCCAAGTTTCATTTTAACCTTAAAAGTTTCAAGATAAAGATCCAAGGAAGTTGCAACTATAGCGCCGAATCGCGCCACTAGAAATTGTCATTTCGTTAGGTGGAGACGAGGACGTACGAATTATTCAAAATTAATTTTTATTCGAACGAAATAATACTACGCACAGTTGGTCGCATAAATATTCGTACCCTCTGTGTCTATCGAAGAAATTTCTTTAAATTTATTGGTTATCGGGGTCAGAAGATAATTATCACACAGTTATTCCCTTTTGATAAGACCGAAAAGTAATCAACGTTTATTAAAAGAAATTTTAAGTTCTAATCGATCATCTGCTGATTTAAGTAGAACTCGAGGCAATGAAAAACAGAAATTTGTCGAAACCAAAGAGAGGAACTGTTGCTCCGATAGCGTGTCCGCTGAATAAGCAATCGAATTTCTGTTTAGTAAGCACGAAAGCAAGATGAATGTCTAGGCACCGGGTAGCCCGAGGGGAAAATCTTCGCGATAGAGTTTCGAACGTTCGCGGAGGATCCTGCGACACAATAACATTGATGGATCGTTTCTTCGGGCTCCTCCGTCTGATCTACGAGGCAATTTGGCTACCAACGTTGACGCATCGCCATTTACGTTTACTCTGCGATCACTTTTCCCTTTAACAAGGGAAACCTGGCGATCGAATTTATCTCTTCGCGAGTCTTGAGCAATATTTTCCCCTAAAATCTTCGAGCGGCGTAGATTGGCGAGCCTGCCCTTTCGTTTTCTCTCGAACGAAAGAAGAAACAGGCCTTTCGTAATTACGGGAAATTGTGGCGCGTCGAACCTCGATGGAAACGCGATATCACGGTGTCGTTTTTCGCGCCAGGTTTGGATTCGAACCAAGACGGAGAAGAAGAAGAAATGCAACAGGATATTCTGTTTCGCTTCGTGGGAGAGCCGCCGTCTGTTGGCCTGGCGTCCTCGACTTTCCTGAATCGAGCTCCGAGGAACGTTGAAAAGCACTCCGTCGTGAAAAGCGATCCCGACGATTAAGACTCGTTACCGCGGTTTTTCGCTTGGAACTGGAAATTCCTGTTATTCTCAACTTGAACGAAACATTAGTCGGGGATTAAAGGCACGTGTTTCGAAACAGGTGTCTTCGTACATTTTTTCAAAGACTTAACCCTTTGCACTCGAGAGGTGACTCTAGGTGACCACTAGGTTTGCTTAGATTTCATTATTTATAGAACTCGAAGTGTAAGTAAAACAATTTCCGGTGAAGCAATCTGATTCTAAAATTTCTAGATAGATAGCAGAAAAAAGGCCTCGAGTGCAAAGGGTCAAATACGTAACATAATATTGCCACGACAGTCGTTAAGGTCCTCTACACTAGCTGCGAACAAATTTAACCAAAGAGCTACCATTTTGGTCCACTTTTACAAATGTGGTTCCGTTACAATTAATTCCTACATAATCCCTACATAATCCCTACATAATCCCTACATAATCTTCGCGCGTTTAAAACTACGTCACGGTAGTTTGACAGCTTCCAATGGCTACAAGACACTGATACTAGTACTTCCAAAACATTGGTACATTTGCATATAAAGCAACCACTGACTCGGATGACACACCCACCCAGCAAAACGTCGATCCAAGAACTGGCCAGCTTGGCCGTGCTTGACGGACGAGTCCCCGTCCGTCGCTGTTGGTTGAGGGGCTAAAGACACCGCTTTCACATTAACCGTAAGACACCACTGTTTGTTTCTTCGACTCGCCTAAGTCCGTCCCGCTTGAAACGAACCATCCGTCGGTTCCACGATCGGCGAAGCTCGTTCACCGCCAACAATCGTTTTAACTGATTGCAGTCCCATAATCTGGGTCTCGCAGTACGGGGAGATGCGCGTGAACGATACCAGAAGCGATCAGGACGCGAGGAACGTAATCCCCGTCTGTCTGACAATGGCCGACAACACCGCCACGGTGGTCTTCTTCCTGCTTCTCGTCCTCTTCTTCTACGTCGTGCCGCTGCTGATCCTCCTGATCCTCTACGCGTTCATCGTCAAACACCTGATGCCCGATCCCGGCAACACTAGCGACACTTACCACGCCAGGGCGAAGAAGCAAGTGATCACGATGCTGCTGTCGGTGGTCGTCGGCTTTTTCCTCTGTCTCTCGCCGTACAGGATCCTAATCTTCTACATAATCGTCGCGCCAGCCGAGCAGATCGCAGCCCTCGATCGCGACACCTTCTTCGCCGTCATCAACTTCGCAAGGATCATGTTCTACCTCCACAGCGCCCTCGACCCGATACTCTACAACCTGATGAGCAGCAAGTTCAGGAAGGGCTTCTTAGGGCTGTGCAGACCGAGCTGCAGAACCGGTCGCTCGAAGGGCAGCGTAGCTGGCGCCAGAAGGACCGACACCACCGAGCAGGAGGAGAACTTTGTGTGAATAGCAGTGGAAGAGGACGCGAGAAAATGATAACTGCATACCTTTTCTGTCCCCGACACGTGTTTTATTACACGTTCAGAAATTTCCTCTTTTAAACAGGTGTTATTCCCTCTGCTGTTTACTCTCTACCGGCACCTAACTTACGTGTGCTAGGTTTACATACTAAGCCTGGATGAACGCGGGCCGAAAACTTGGCCCTACATGCTGCTCGGTACGTACGGCGGATCGCCAACCGAAAACATCAATAACCGATGGATAACAGTCGATGCTGCAGAATCCAACAAATGTTACCGATAACGGAAGAAAGAGCACCACGATTGAGTAACGAGGTGGTGCAAATTGCACTCTAGCTGACCGGTCTTTAATCTTTACAGTATTTCCGCTGACGACGTTCTATCTTTATCAACGCCTATTTTGATATAACGTTCGTTACCGAAGAGTATCAGTTTTAAGGCAACGGAACGAAACAGACGTCGATAAGCTCGTAGATAGAAGCATATATTCTAAGTACGTTTAGTATTTATTAGAATAGAGTCGTAGAATCCTCAGTCTATAACTGCCAAAAAAATTCCGTCCAACGAGACGCTCCGCCCTAAAAGTATCACGTCCCTTGAATGTGCGATCGTGTTACTATAGATTCCTTTCGAGACTGAAAATTACAATGATCAGCGGAAAAATTAATTGATCGAGACAAAACCCGAAGGAGCAGCCCATAGACTGGTACTCGAGATACCAGTCGATCCCATAATTATTCGTACCTTCTATGTCTGTTGAAGACATTTTTCTAAATTGATCGACAGGTTTGATGTTTACATTCTTTTATTTCAAGTATTCACGCGTGTAAAGTCTATTTATGTATTATATTTATATCGAAGCATTTAATTTAGACATAAACATATATAGTAATATCAAAACTATTACTTAGTTCAGTGAAACTTGTTCGACAGAGGGTATGAATATTTATAGGATCGACTGTATTTGAACTTTGACGAAGTTACAAGAATAAATACCGCGATAAATGTTTCATTACGAACTGTAAACAAACCTCGGAGAGTATCGGTCCGCTAGTGAACGTGATAAACGTAGACACGAATGTATCAACCGAGACCATTCGATCCTCCGGACACGTTTGCAAATAAAGCTTCTTCGCTCGACAGACCTCCCGTGTCACTCTCAAACTCCAGAAATCTTCTCCTCTATCCTCTAGAAATCGAAGTCACACCCCGCTCGACGTTCCCAAGCACGCTTCCCACCGTTCTCGTGCTTCGACGACCAAAACCATGGCGCCGAGTACGAAAAATCGTCCTCTAGAAAACTAAAAGTCGCAAACTTGTCCCGTAGAAAACGCTCAGAGTGAGACCGTAACCGTTTGTTCGCAGTCCCATCCTGTTCACGGTCAGCTACGAGCTAGAGGAGACCGATAACGGTACGTACATTCCCACCTGTAACACCGTGGCGACCACTTACTGGGTGATGGGTTTCTTCGTGACGACGGTGGTCATCTTCTTCGTGGTACCCCTGCTGATACTGGTGGTTCTGTACACGGTAATCGCCCGACACCTGATGGCGAACCCGACGATAAGTCGCGGCTCCTCGAACAACATGCTCAGATATCGCAAACAGGTGATGCTGATGCTGGGAACCGTCGTGCTGTGTTTCTTCTTGTGTCTGCTGCCGTTCAAGGCGTTCACCATATGGATACTCGTGGTCCCCGAGCGAATGGTGATCCGTCTAGGCGTCGAGGGCTACTTCACTCTGTTGTACTTCTGCCGGGTGATGCTTTACTTGAACTCCGCGATCAATCCCATCCTTTACAACCTCATGTCCACCAAGTTCAGGGAGGGATTCCTCCGGCTGTGCGGGCTGGGGCCCAACAGGAGGAAAAAGAAGAAAACGTCGGATAGAACCGGTACGTACACCACCGGCTCCACGAACTGCAGCAGCAACCACTCCGACTTTTGGAGGCGGCACAGCAGCAACAAGAGCGCCGGCAAGGCGCCCGCCAGCAACGCGTCCGCCGAAAAACAGATCAAGCTGCCGCTTCAGGCGGCCGTCGTCGCCGGCTGTATCGTTAGGAAGAAACAGGAGAGCTACGTGTAAAAGAGCGAACGGTGGGACGACTATCCGAGACTGACTGTGATCATCTACCATTCCGTATTAACGTAGCACCTGTCGTTCGCACTCTTATGCACCATCGTACGATGCGAGACGTTCATCTTTCGCGACCTAGTCCAAAAGGAATCGCGAACCGAGGCTGTTCGATCAACAGGAGGTCGAGTGGCCTCTCGAAGTCGTTGTAGCCGTGAATGCGTTAGACTCTGGGTAAGTAAATAAAGAGGTGGTTGTCTAATTATTAGCTTTTACCAAAAACTTCTTTCGTCGCTTGCACTCGGTTATTTTGTGCGACAGTGTTAGGTCTCTAATAACGTTCAAAACGTTGGTCTATTTTGTGTTGGTACTTTCCTTATCTAAGTACCTAGTGTCCTAGTGTCCTTATTTTCGATACCTTACCTCTGATGACATGACGTAATCCTCTTGGCGCACCCTCTCTCTGTCTTTGATAGATAAATAGATAAAGAGTGAATAGTTTAATCTCAAGTTATATTAAAGACGCAGGCCTAATTCGTGTTGGTACTTTCTTTATTTGATAACGTTTATTTTGGATATCCTACCTCTGGTGTCTTAACATAAACCTACGGGTTGTTTCCGGTTCGAGTTCCGTCGTAACCCGCGTAAGATTGCGAACGACACGATAGAGTCGGGTTGATGTTGTTTAGAATTTTCGGAATCTGTGATTAATTAAGTGACCGTTTACCATGTAAGTATTATAACGACGTTCCTCGTTGGAAAGACGAGGGACCACGTCTGTGGACGAGTGTGTCTCTAGTTGTAGGAGCCGAGGATAACTCGTGCGATTATTTTCTGGGTAATTTGTACAAACGGACAGAACCTCGTGCAAATTTCATTTCGATTGACAACTTCGAGAGACAACTATCGAAGACAACCATGATTTATTACGGCACTTTTCGATAGGAATTTAATACTTTTTTAACCAAGCATGTAACAATCTCGTCTTGTTTCTAGTCGTAGGATACGTTAACGAAGTTTGTATGGGAATCTATAGGACGTCCTGTGTAATTGTGATTTATATAAATAAGGCCGTCGGCCTCGTCCCTGTGAACTGTACGAACGTTCTTGTGGCTTTTACGCGAATTGTTGGTACGCGATTGTATAGAAGTGCGCCCCCGCTGACAGAGACGGGTGAAACTTTATTCAGAAAACGAACCTGCGCTAGCGCCCGTGCAAAGTTTCTCGTGCTACGCGAATCTCGTTCGTTCCTAATTGTTTGCAGAAATACATTTATTCCCGATCGTTCGTAAATTATGTCGACGCGAAACTTGCGCGAGGCGACGCTATAAAGAGACACTTTATTTTATTATGCGAAATGTATGTTCCTGTAAATATTTGTAAAATAAAAGGAAAATAATAATTAACGACAATCGATATTATTATCAACGTTATCAGACGTTCTCTGACTGTGTCGGCGTAAAGTTTCTTCGATACTTAAAATTAAACGTTAGATCCACGTTATAGTTGACTAGTGGCTGCAGGAATTGCTTGTAAAGTGTACAGTGATGATCTAAATACTTTGCAGGAAGACGGAAACAGGAAAACACGTCCGTAACGAGTAAATTCCTATTCGACTAGTTTGAGATTATCGTATCAACGTACGCTCTTCGTCAACGCGTTTCGCGAATATTATATCATGAGCCAAGCGGTCTTCTCTCACGACGAAAGTGTAGACGTAGTAACCTTTCGACTCCATGAAGTTTATCAGTTCCTTTTTACCATCTTCAACGTGTGAGAACTCCACGGAGAGCGTCTGAAACATTGGTCTACCGTTAATACGTTCGTCTATATACTTGAAACCACTTCTTTGTCATAAAATAGAGCTACAACTTGAGAAATACCGTGTTACTACGACGAACCAGATTCGATACTTGTATCCGAATTATTTTACGACGTACCTTTATATCGATCCCGTCGAATGGAATCGTCTTCAATACTTGTAGCTCGTGTCCCTCTATATCGAGGCTGAAGTAATCCACAGAGGTGACGTTAAGCGCGGCCATGTAATGCGCGAATGGAAAACACTGGACCTGAATGTGAACGCCGCTGTGAGCCACGTCGTCGGAATTTTCCAAATGAGCGTCCGTATCGTTTGGTTCGTGAAGACGACCCACGTTTCTGGCCATCAAGAAAGAGCTCTGGAAATGAAACGAGAAACGTGCGAATGTACGTATTCTTGCCATGGGGCGGCGCAACGCTACACGCTATTGATAGACAGGCGACCGCGAGCCACCGGTGGTACACGCCGACGTGAACGTGTTAAACAGTCTTTTTTCTTCATAAACAATTTTCTTAATCATTAATTATTAATTTCAATTATTTCAATTTAAACGAGACTCCGTATATTTATATCGAACAGCTTCTAGCGACGAGTTACGAACTTTCGTACCACCGTGGGATATTGTCCGACGCTCAGGCACGTGGGCGTCAAGTATGCTTTCCTATTTTTTGTCAGCATTTTGGCAAAATTTATGGGATCCGCCTCCACCAGGAGGCCACTCCAACCAAGCTCCCGTTCCAGGATCAGAGTGTTGCTACGCGTCTCGCCGTCGAACGCGCCGCACTCCACGAAGAAACCATTTTTCTGTACAGAGACGTTGCAATTTATATCTCGCATCAATTGCAAATTAATCGAACAATTTACTCGGAATATCATTACCACCTTATCGCCGAGGATGCTACGAACGACTTTGGCTTGACCCATCGACTGATCCTCGATTTCAGGATTCGAAAGATTGTAATTCAGATTGGGATCGTGTTTCCAAACTATCCATTCGCGTCGAAGTATCGCAATGTAACGCTCCCACTCCACAGGATTCGAGGGTGAGAGTTTTTTACCGTTGTACCATCCAATGTCTTCGAAAATATTATCAAAAGATTCGAAACTGTATTTTATAAGAACAGAAAGGCCACCGAGGAAATATAAAATTAAAATATTTCAGCAATTTTTGGTGGAATAATCAGCTATTGTTTGTCAGGATTATTTATCAGGAAAATTGCGTATATACCGTTTGCACGAACGAAATGATAGATGGAGCTGAATACACGCCACGTGCACAAACATCGTCGTAAATTACGCGACAAGGCAAGCACGCAGGTTAGAAAAACATAAATTTGTATTTGTGGCATCGAAGCATATGTTTGTAAACTTGCGTAATAAAATTACAGTGACATTTGATAAATGTTTGCGAGTCATTTTTCCAAAGGACGCGTTTCCTTTTCACCGTGTTATTAATCCGAGAGTGCTTATTATTCTAATCGATTCTTATCAGTGGCTATCAAACGTATCGAAAGACGCGCCTCTAAAGATAAATACAGCGCGAGAATTACCAAAATAAAATTAACTGTCAAAAAAAACTAAAAGATATCGTAAGCGAAAGACGATAAGGAACGAGAGAAACGTCAACCTATAATAACCGTTCTGATTCTACCTATGGCAAGCATTAGTCACGCGTGGAACTAATCTCTATCGAACATAGATAAGTTCAAACTTACCTCCTGTAAAGTTGTACCACTTGCCCAAAACTGTAACAGCAAAACGAATATAACGTTACAAATGAAATGCGACGAAACGATTATTAAAATCCCGTAAAAAAATTTGTCTGTCGGCAAAAATACTGTCAACCTCCCGACACCTCGATTTAACGTGACATAACGCCAAAGAACGTTTCGAAAGTGCGAATTAAATTACAACCTTCCAACGTCAAGCACGCTTTCTCGAAAATGTTCTCATTCGGTAAACCAACTACCATTTCTTTTCTTTCATTTCATTTGTTTCGCTAACAGACTTACCATCCCGATAACATTTCTCCGAGACGGTGTCCATGTAATCGTCATAGCTCGGCGTGTTTAGGTCGGCCGAGCGTAGCGCCTGCTGGATTACTATCAAAACAATAAACGCGATGGCTATCAGGCCGATCAACGCGTACATAATCTGCCGCCAGAACGGCACGAATATGCGCGCGTACGAACGCTCGTTGGTGCACATTGGTTCGTTTCGGAGTTACAAAGTCAGCAACAGGTTGCTGCTCTACCTTTCGTGCGACGGTGAACGAACACGTGAGAGGTCCTGGTCCATGGAACTTCGACGCGAGACTGAGGCTATCAATCGTCCCGTATCGAATTTCAAGACCTATCGAACAGCCCGCGTTCCATTCATTTTACTTCGAATTCATCGATTTACGGTGGCTTCGAACTCCCGACGATCTGTTAACGTCCCTGGAAATGAAATCTTCTCTCACTCGACGAAGATCGACGATGAATTTTCGTGATTTAGCCTCGGGATGGATGTAGCTGCACATTGGTATTAGAAAATGATTATTTCTCAATTACTTTCGCGGTAATTATATCGCTGTTTGTGCGTTGGCTTGGCACCGACTAAAGCACTTCGAAACTAACGATAAGCCAATTTCCGTCCGAACTCGAAGCGGACAGTTACACAGTTTCGACGCAGAGAGGTGGAAATGCCAAACGACCAAACGTAGCACTAGCTTCTTAGTAGCGGATTCACGCTACCGGCATTGATGGTATTTATTAATATTTCAAGATCTGGCACCACGAATGCTTTCGAAGAGTCGAGTCACGGGTCAAAATATAAATCAGAGGGGAACGTTCACGCGCGCACGGTGTCGTTACACCGAGTAACGTGGAAAACGTGGTATATCTAACGAACTCTCGTTTAAATTTAGATCGAACGAAATATAACGAAACGTTAAATGTTATCCGTTTTAAATCCGTTTTAAGTCGCGTTTTCTTTTATTCCCATCCAGTGATTTGCAGCAATCGTCGAGAGGAACGATCCCGAGGCACGTGACTATCGGCACTGTTAAACCATCCAAGTGGACTCGTGTTATATTCGTCCTACGACGTTTCGATAACGAATACGGATTGGACTTGTTAACCAGCCGTGGTCGAAACGATGTTACCTATTGGTGTTGGGTGTGTGAAGGCGCTAGACGTAGAAATAATACAGAGAGTGGACGTTGGTGTGCAACTCGTGTATATGCAACCACACGTGGAAATAATGAGCTGATTATGCATATGTCTAATGTAACAGAATGCGATACGTGCTCCCTCAGAGGTGTTTCTTTCATTCGGAACAGAATGTGTTGCAACTATGTATTTATGTAAGAAATTGTGACTTTCATATACTCTCAAGATTCTGTTACCTTTCGGTTTTTCTAGTATACGTCAGTAATTTTCAAAAATGTTTCGGACAAATCTTGAAGAGAATTAAATTTTAAATAAAAAAGTTAAATAAACTTTTTCTGTATCTCGTCTAATAAAGTCAGCGTTTAATGAAATCTTGATTTCGCGTAGCGTGTCTAAATATCAGGTATTAATTGTTAGGTCTTATGTAACCAACATTGACCTACATACGATACGGTTACCTACAAGTGGATACCAATTATCGTGTCAAGACGCCTATTACCTATAATAATTCTTCCGTATTAACTAATAATTACCCGACGCAGTATTCCTAATTAAGATAAAGGTTTAATTACGAAAGAATTCAACGGAATTTAAAATCCATCCCACGAAAATGAATTTCCCATTATCGACCTTGTCAACTTGCGTTATCTTTGAACTCTTTACAGTACTAGCTATTAAGTTAGGTTATGTAGCCAACAGTAGCCAACTGCAGAGTGTAGGTTAGATTAGGTTAGATCTTTCAGTGTCATGCACCTTTCGAGTAACTAAACATATTTTAATCAAACAAATCTATCAAAGAGTATTATTTGTATTTACACGGCTGGTCAAGATGGCGGAAGAAAGTCATTGCATGCATTTTGTAAAAAGAAAGAAGAGATTTTGTCGTATGTCTGTTAAAAGAGGGAACAAGTATTGCGGCGAACATCAAGGAAATTCATTGGACTCTACTGGCATCGACGATGAGAAGCTCGATGACAAAAGAATGAAATGTCCGCTCGATCCTAAACAGTAAGTAAAATTCTGTTGGAATGGACGTAGCATAGTTTCTGTAATTTGTATAAAATTTATAGACGGTTTCCAGTACTTGCTACAAGTCGAGGTTGGCCAAGCACTTGAAAGTGTGTAACGCAAAGCGATTACTGGACTCGCAACCTTTATTTATAGTGAAAGGAATCAATGTGGACAAGACATGCGAAACACCGCAACACGTACCGCTCCGCGAACTTAATCAGCTTTTGATAGACACTGTCATAAATAAAGCGGAAGAGGCCTATGGTTAGCAACATGTTCAATATTCATTCAGATCTCTATTAATAATCAGAAATTACATTTTCCTCAAAACGTATTTTAAAGCATGGACTTATTAAAATCTTTTTAAACTGTTTCAGGGAAGTTGCCACAATTTCCAAAAGCAGTATTGGAACATAACATACTCAAGGACAAAATAAACGATGAAAGTTGTGGGAAAGCTGTTAAGAGACATTTATTACAAGCTTCATCCTTGTTATCACATTTAGAACATGCAGGTCTTGTAAAAGATGATACATGTTTCATTGAATTCGGAGCAGGAAAGGGTAAACTGACTTATTGGCTGGGACAGATGATAAAGGATAAGAAGAATAGTTGTATTCTGTTGGTAGATCGTTCAAGTCACAGGCATAAAAGCGATAATAAATTGAAAAACGAGCAATCTCCCCTTGTGATAAAAAGAATTCGAGCTGATATTGCTGACTTGAAACTGAATGATATTACAGAAATTAAGAAGTTTGATCGTAAAGTTGGTATTGCAAAACACTTGTGTGGATCAGCTACAGGTATCTTTACATGCATATATTTACATATTTTTAAAACAACAGAGACTAAAAGTAATATATGTACTAATTATATTGTTAAAAATATTGTTCCACAGATTTAACTATAAATTGCTTGGTCAAAGCAATGCAAAGCGAACATAAATGTAACATTACAGGCTTGGTAATTGCATTTTGTTGCCATCACAGGTGCGAATACGCATCGTACGTTGGGAAACAATATTTAGAACAATGTAGATTTACAGCTGATGAATTTACAATTTTATGCAGTATCGCTAGCTGGGCAACTTGTGGATCCACTTTAAATAAATCAGCTGCAAGTCAAGAGAGCCAAAATGATTTTGACAATGCAAGGTAGAAATCTAATACAATACGTTTTTTGCTATTTGAAAAATACTTAAAGCTGTATTATGCATTTCAGAATAGGTGCAAAGAATTTAACTTCAAGCGAAAGGGAAAGGATCGGCCAAAAAGTGAAGTCGTTATTAAATTGGGGTCGTTTGAAATTCTTGGAAAGCATTGGATTCCAAAGCAAGTTAATTTATTACACCACTACTGATGTATCTCTCGAAAACATGTGTATTGTAGCTACAAAAGATGCAACATAATAATTTATGAAATAAATTGTATAAATAGAAATAAACTGTAATAAATTCGATTTCAAACAGCGTTCAATGTGCTTAATTACTTCAGTCCAATTATAAACTATGACATTAGAATAAATAATAATTTCTAACAAATAAAGTACTTACTCTAACTTGAATCAAACAACAAACATCGTAACGAATACAGGTAAGTACATATCATGATTAGATCATTTCTCTACTGAAGTGCATAATTCAAGCGAAATAATTCTACTTGGGGATTTCATTGAGAATATACGATATAACTGAAGTTGATAATTAATAATTAACGTTTATTGTCGCGTATTAACAATGCTGGATAATCCTAACCAAGAAATAGCCCGTTAACGGGGTGCGAAACAGTATAGCCATCTCGCGGCCAATAGGTCGAACTAAACTTGGACTAAATGCAGACTACCTGTATACAAACATTGAATTTAATCTCATTTTTTTAATATATACACGCAATTTTACATGATGCTAAGCATATTGTTCATTAATTAGACTTTCAGCTTTCATTTAATGAGCAGAAATTGGTCCAAAATTCACTTTTTCCACGATAAAATAGACGAAAAATGTACTCATGTATATATTGACTTGGAATCAGTTAATTTGAACCTTTAGAAGGAAGTAAAGGCCAAGGAATATTTTCCTAGTTGATTTATAACATAACAATGCTTGTAATATTGTTAGAAAATCATTATTAAACGTAATAAACAAAATTTATTAAAATTATTATTTTTCGACGTAACCGCTTTCTGGTGGCCAATCCTCGAACTAATTTTCGGAGTTTTGGTCAGCGCCTCTATCGGGAAAACGCTCAAGTTTGTCCTCGAATAGTTCCTACTTTCACGGTTAGATGGCGTTGTTTTTATGGTATTTACCGACACCGAATGGTAAGTTACCATCGTGTCGGTAAAAACAGTATAAATGGCGCCACCTAGCGGTAGCAGCTGTAACTATTCGAGGACAAACTTGGGCGATCTTCCGATAGAGGCGCTGACCAAACTCCGAAATTAGTTCGTTAGCTTGACCGCTAGATGGCCATTAGGTTGACTGTAGAATGCGCGCGAAATTTGAATTCAGGCTGAAGTCTTCAGTATCATTCAGTACTACTTCGAGATGAATAGAACATTTTAAAATTGCACTACACCTGTTACAACATCTCTCTATTCATACTATTCTCTTACATTCAATCTTCTCATTATCTTGTCCTGCCTCTGGCATTTTTATGCAATGACGAACTGTGTTTACATTCCATTTGATTTTATCACGATTCGTAGTATGGGCATTTCGAGGTATCTCTACGTCGTCATAGAAGCACAAGAAATATGTGTGGTCGAGCGTGTTGGTAAGGAATCTTATCACGTAATTTCGTTGATTAATTCATGGCACGCACGTCTTACTACCATCGAAGAAAACGTGTAAATCATTTTACAGTTCTTTGAATCCGGATACCGTGTCTCGTGCTTGCAATTACAAGGATGCGAGCGGTAAATGGCGTACGACTTCGTGGATTAAAGGCGACGTCGAGTACAAGCCGTCCTTCAATATCGGACCCAAGGACGCTTTACCTTGCATCGTAGCTGGTTCACATTTTGGGAAACAAGATGGGAGAGTCGTTTGTTCTATGATGTGGAGCATGATTCCACCCTGGCACGAGGTTAGTGTTTACAAACAAGGTTTGTACAACGTTCCAGGGGTGGGGGACACGCTCACGTGGTCCCGAACGAATCGTCAACAAAACACAATGAACGCTTATCGTACCGTACTATGCGATAACAGTACCTACTTTTAGATATGTATAAATCAAATGTTTCGACCAAAATATGTAAATTTTTTAGGGTGATTATAGAAAGCATACTCTGTCTACGCATAATGCACGTTTGGAAAACCTTCAGAAGTCTACATTGTACGGTCCACCGCTTCGCAGAGGACAGAGGTGCATTGTGGTTTGCGAAGGTTTCTATGAATGGAAAGCTGGAAAGACTAAGAAAGATACCAAGCAACCCTATTACATTTATGCCACGCAAGATAATGGTATAAAAACAGATGATTCTACAACATGGAAGGATGAATGGTCAGAAGAAAGCGGATGGAAAGGATTTAAGGTTTTGAAAATGGCAGGAATATTTAATAAATTTAAGACTGGAGAGGTAAATGCAAGCATTAAGATTATTCATTTATTATTCAACTTGTTCGAAATTGTACAAAATTATGTTCCAGGGTAAAATAGTATATAGCTGTGCTATAGTTACAACAGAATCAAATAATGTCTTATCTTGGTTGCATAACCGTGTACCTGTATTTTTAAAAACGGAAGAAGATTCACAGGTAAACAAATGAATATGTATGTAAACAAAAAAATTACTTAAACTATTACAAAAATTATTTTATGCTACCAGATTTGGCTGAACGAAGAGCTGTCGGTAGCTCAAGCTATTAACAAACTAAACAAATTAACGTTATCAGACGGAGATTTAAGTTGGCATACAGTCTCAACGAGCGTAAACAATGTGTTGTATAAAAGCGAAGATTGCAGAAAGGAGACAAAGGCTGTGTACGTACACGCGTTCATCGATATACAATTAAACATTTCATTGCAAGAATTATAAAGTTTTAATCGCGTGAAGTGACATACCAGACTATTGATTTACTAATTCTATTACACAGAGAAGAGAAAAAAAGTAACCCTAGCAGTTTCATGGCTTCCTGGCTGAAGAAGGGGAGCGAAGAGTTAGCTAAGAGAAAAAGTACAAATACCGATGATGACCATAGTTACGGAAATGGAAAGAGCGACGAAACGCCGTCAAAAATTGCGAAGAAAGAATAATTTTCTTAAATAATATAGAAACACAAGTTAAAAGTAGAATAAGAATATCTTCTACCTCATCTTTAATATATATCTATTTAATTTATATTTCTGTAATACTTTTATGTCTTAACGAGTACAAAAGCAGTAGGATTTTAAGTACATACAATCGTAATTTTATACATGTCATTGTAATACAAGAAACATTTCTTCTGACTTTAGAATAGGATTCCCTTTAAATTAGAAAAAAGTATGTCGCTCTGTAAACGTCAGTATTACTTCAGTATTATAATAAAAGAATATTCATTTATCATTTCATACGTACATTAATCACGTTATCCCATATATCAAACTTACGTACCCACAAACAAAAAAAATCACTTATCCCGAGAAAAGTACTAATCATAATCGCATTTATCGAACGATTACAAATGCCTGAATTACGATTGCAGACCGACACATGCAATCTTCGATTACCCGCCGGTCCGAACGGTGACGACTCGCTCAGTAAACACGATTATCTCGTGTAATCAGTTCGAAGAGTAATCAATCGCTGTCGAATTTTTGCACGAAACGAGATTCCATTTGGCGCTCGCGGCTGCACACGCGCAGAGCCCGCGGCACCGATGCAATATGGCGGCGCGCAGTGATGGACATTCGTGGGATTTTTCCCTCGAGGGATTCCTTTCTGCGCATGCGTGAGCTGACGTCACAGTTACATGTCGTCTGCTACCATACATGTATCTGAACCGCCAAAGAAGGTGCATTTAAGGGGCCTTTGCAATTTTCCCGCGTTTTTGGACAAATAAAGTACAAAAGTGTTGGTGCTTTTTTTTTATTCATATTTCTACCTCTTTCTTATGAGTTTTTCTGGAATGATATATATGTATACATATATATAGGCGTGTGTGTATATATGTTATAAATTAGTAATTTTTTTGTTACAGCTACTTTCTGGAAATGCTTGCATTTTTGTCCTGTGATCGAACTACTGTGATTTAGTTTCAAATCGATTAAAATATGAAATTAGTTTCATTTAAATGTATTCAGTTAATATTGGTAAGGTACCCTAAATTCTAAGTAAGTGTATACAGCAGTGAGAACTGGAACGGTCGGTCCAGTGCGCATGATCATGAAAATCCCACGAATGTCCATCACTGGCGGCGCGGATCGGCCAGTGTCGTCTCGGTGATGAGAGCGACGAAGATGGCGTAAGAAGGGAGTAAAAGAAAGTCTGGTTACCCGAAGGTGTCAGCACGTTGATTCATGTTTCGCGAGCGACAACGGCGGCGGCGACGGGTGGACGTGATCGGTGGTGGTTTCGCGAGTGCTGTGAGCTGTGAACTGTGAGTGCAGTGTATCACGGTGTGTACGCGGTTGAGAACGAAGGCGTGCGCGCTAGACTCGTACAAGCGTAAGAAGAAGGCTGCGGTGGTCGCGCGTTTTCGTCTCCCGTGCCGCGAGGGCTGCCCTTCGCGAGAATCCGCGTCGCGCATGGCACGGCTCCGTGCCTGAGACGCCTTTTTCCCGGAGACAGAGAGAGCGAGTTCGTGCGCGACCGGGGCCCAGCCTCTTCGCGTGCCTCGTCTCGTGTTACAGTTTTCGAGCACCGAGGAGACCGAGTCGCGAGCGAGCCGACAGAATGACCAGCCAGGAGACGCGCGATCAAGGGATCAGCAACGTAGAGACCGAGTACCTCGAGATCAACTCGAAAGAAGCCTGGGCAATCCTCTATCAGGTAAAATGGATCGTCCTCCGTCTCTTCCTCTTCTTCCTCTCGCGTTTTTTGTTCCTTTCCTTCCGGTTAGACCGCGAGAAAGGGAGACCCGTCTCGTCTCTGTCGCTAATGTGTCAGCCCGTTTCACGCGAACACGCGACTACGTTGAATTGTTTTTCGCTGACACGGATCGCCAGTCTACGCGGCGCGACGATGGAATTCCTCGTAACCGCTTACCCCGACCCGCCAGATAAACAAAATTTCCTCCAAATCTACACGACTAATAAAACCAACTAGTTAAACCTGGTTAAACCTTCCCGAAGTTTCGTTGCACTCAAACGGTTCTACCTGCTCCAATTTTTATTCGAAGAGTAACGCGACAAGTTGTGCATTCCTTTATTTGTTGTTTCGAAACTTTTATCTAGATAAGAGTTTCGTTCGACTCTTCTCTCTAGAATTCATTTCGAAACTGCAGGGTTTCTACAGTGCCCGAAATTTCCATAAAGTCACCGATATTTTGACGAATTTTTTTAAAATATAATTAACTTTACTACTTTTGTTCTCATCTAAAATTATATTTAATTGATAGTAATCATAAATCTACGAGTATCTGCTCGGAAATGTTTACCTTTCGGCTGTGTTTACATTTTTTGCTGTACCAAGTGAAATATAAGTGCGAAATTATAAGGCCACTTATTGACATGGCATGAAATGGCTTTGACATGGCATGAAATTTATCATAAGTACAGAATAATTATAAGATATTACCAAAAAATGTGGTGGCTTTATGGAAATTTCGGGCACTGTAGATGGGGATTCCGGTTTTAATCGGGACTTGCATTACTCCAAGATTTTACGTCGAGTAAACAAGCGATTGGTATCGTAACGAAATCGTAACGTTTTACGGCGGAGAGATGAATTTCTGTGTATATCATTCGGAGGCAGTCTTTACGGCTTCGTATAGTACGCTATCTTTTACGATATCTCATAAATTTTCGATAAAACCTCTAGACCGAACGAAAGAACGCGTGTCTTCGATTTACAGCGATGCAGAGTTCAATTTATAAGTAAACTTCGTATTGGACATCCTTGACTAGACTCGATATTTTAATATAATTTATACCTTGATTACTTTATCCTCCATCCAAACAACAAAGTTAAAATTACGAGATACCCGAATATCAAAGTCCGGCTCACGTCATCGGTGCCGACCGGCAACGTGTTCGATTAATTTATGCTCCGCAAATGAATTTTTAATTTACTACACGACGATGCGATTCGATGCTACGAGCCAGAATTCAACAGTCGCGTGTGTTCTTTATCTCGTTCCCGCGCCTCGTTTCCTGGATACATTTATTACAATGAACAGATTGTTTTAATTCGTGGGTATCGTTTCGCTTTCTCGGAAAGCGTTTTTCACAGGCAAACGTTGAATATAACATAGACCGAGTCTCGAGATCTTATTACCAAGGACGAGTAGTCGTTTCTGAAATATTTATAACCTTTATTTTTGCAGCACATACGCAACGAATGCAGCCATTTTACATACACGTGCAACGAATCAAAGAAACCGCAGAACAAAAATTTGAACCGTTACAGAGATGTTGCTCCATACGATCACAGCAGGATCGTCCTTAAAAGAGGACCATGCGATTACATCAATGCCAACCTAATACAAGTAAGCATCGCAAATATAATTGATCCTTAAACTGTGACAATAAATTGATGTTCTTTATAGGTAGATCGTGCTCACAGACAATACATCCTTACTCAAGGACCATTGGAAAATACTGCCGGCCACTTTTGGCTGATGGTATGGGAGCAAAATTCTAAAGCTGTGTTAATGTTAAATAAAATAATCGAGAAGAATCAAGTTAAGTGTTATCAGTATTGGCCTCTCGGTGATTCGTTGGATCAGACTATGACGTTTTTGGATGTCGGTATAAAAGTAGAATACGTCAGCAAAACGGAATCGTCGGATTACACGACTAGAATATTAAAGTATGAACATGACGTTATAGAAGAGAGTACGCGAGGTAGCAAAATAAGAATTTAATTTAACGTTTGTATACCTCGCAGGTTAATTGATTTGGAAACAAAGGAAAGTAGAGAAATATTGCACTTTCACTATACTACTTGGCCAGATTTCGGAGTGCCGCAAAGTCCGACAGCCTTTCTGCACTTTTTGGCAGACGTTAGGCAGTCGGGAGCGTTAGATCAAAATGTTGGCCCCCCTGTTGTGCATTGCTCTGCTGGCATCGGAAGGTCTGGAACGTTTTGTTTAGTCGACACGTGTCTTGTTTTGGTAAGGATTAGCGATAGTGCGCGATAAAATTGATAATTCTGGGGGAAAAAAATGATTCGTTCGGTTGTAGATCGAAGAAAGCGGATTGAATTCTGTGAATGTTAGAGATGTGTTGATCGAAATGAGAAGATCCAGAATGGGTTTAATTCAAACACCGGATCAACTACGATTTTCGTATGCTGCTATTATAGAAGGAGCAAAACAATTGCCATCCAACAACGTGGTAACTAATACCAATTCGCAGTGGTACAGTGTTATTGGTCGCGTATCGTTTGGAAAAGATATAACTTCTTTCGCGTAAACCAATCCTAATAGCGCTGTACTACTGTGGTGTACAGTGGCCTATGACTTTCATTAATCTTCGTCTAATTTACAGAACATCGACAATGAGGTAGTAACGAATCATTACGACGTGGTAAATAATATTAGTAATTCTACGATCGAAGATGAGGACGAACCGCCTCCTTTGCCACCTCCAAGAGGCGAATCTCTAACGCGTAGTATGATGGCGGATCTAACTTCGAACACAACTACGAAGAATGGTGAGGACGATCGATAAGCAACGAATGCGAAGTTCGACACTTTCAAAGTATAATATTCTTTTATTTTTAACGCTAGATGCATTAGGTGGACCACCCGACAAGCCATTACCCAGAGAACCGTCTGCCAACACGGAAGCGTCTAGCAGTCCACCCTCTGCAAACTCTACGATAATTACAAACAATTTGCACGAAAAGAGTTCCGATGGCGTTGCAGTGCCCAACGAAACTACCAGCGACGGTGAAAACTCTTTACAAACGACCAGTCCTCCGTCCAGTCCTGATGCGTAAGTTTGTTCGAAACGCGAAGTTGCGTACATGTATTTCAGTTTTCTTCACGATGCTCGTTCGTTTGTTACAGGAAAAACGAAGTACGTCATCGCAATAAAGAAAAGAAGGAACGTCTGGCAGCACAAGTACGGGAGATGAAACGTCGACAAAAGGAGACAGAAGAATGGCAGAAGCTCAAGAGGTCATTATTTAAGCCTCTTTCAATAGGCATAGGCGCCGCAATTGTTGGTGGGGGTATTCTAGCAATCTGTGGCTATTTGTATATGCGAGGTTAGGACAGACTTGTTTCGAGTTGGTCAGTGATACTAGATGATTCGCACATTCGAGAATAGTTACTTTCACCACGAGATATTTAACAGTTCTATTCGCACGTGTCATCGATTACAGTCAGGAATGAGTAATTAATCAGGGAGAAGCATTCGGTATTACGTAATTGGAAGCAGATCACGCGAGACGCTGTCGGTAAGAAACTTTGGTTAGCGGAAGGCGAGACCAGTTATCAAAGGAATGTTAGAGAGAAGTAACTTATTCTGAGAAAGTGCATCTGTAAAGGACATTGTTGCATGGCGAAGAAGCTAAAGAAAGATCGATAGATCGATCGAGAAGGAAAAACGAAGGAGAAGGGGGAGATCTTCAATTTGTATTTTTATATTGTGATTTACTCGATGAGTACGTAGAATATTAGAAAGTATACATTCTTTTGAAGATCCTTTTATTAGGTTCCCTTGACAGTCGCAATTTTCGAAGTGAGTAGAGTATTTCGTATTTCGTGTTTCCAGTTACGATGAGAGAATAAGAGGCGCATTGAGTCAAATTATTTTTTTTTTTTGTCATTCGAATTATAAATCTGGAATATGTTTTTCTTAATATATAAATGAATTATTTGCATCGCGCGAATTAAAAGGAAAAAGGAAGAAAGGTCTCGGAGAAGCGACGAATCAATGCCCTTGTTATTCGTACATCGTAACAACTGTAAGGTCATATACGATACACATTATACGAAGTGGGTGCGTAACGATTTCGGTAAGAAAACTTGATTATTTATCTTCCAATAGAGAGACAAACGCAAGTATTAATCCACCACATTTCCTTTCTACTTCTTGAACACTCGAATAGATTTAGCTATTTTCATTTGACTAACCCGTTTGCAGTCGGCATTTCAGTTTTGATAATCCTTTAATTTCGTCAAGTAATCTTCGAATAAATTAGATATCTATCATTAGCAATTATCCAGGGTACCAAATTCATTCGCTTAGAGGTTATAAGCACCCGATCACTTCGCTAGAATCTAATGAATATATTCGTGATAGGAGTAGAGAAATGTTAACGATTCTAACCGTAGTATACACAGTAAATGTTTTTAAAGTAACTTGCCCGTTGAAGTAGAGTCCATTCTTCAGTAGAATGTTCACGGAGAAGGGAAGTCGTATTAGAATTAGCGTAAGTGATGCCTGTGACGTACCATGGCCCGTTCTTTACGTGGGATACCGTTTATTTCGAATCATCGTCGATTTCATTTAACACTTGTTCCTGGGGCTATGAGTAAAGAGGTACTTTCGGCTTTCTCTCTTCCTCGAAGGAACGCAGGTCACCAAAATATTCCGTTAAATGGCTACTTGTGCCTTCGACCGTGTGCTTGATGTCTCGCGGAATTTCGTAAAAGCTCATGGACGTTTATATGAGCGATTTTGTATCGAGAGTAGTTGAAGGAATCTTTTCTACGCAAGAACATTCCTGGTATACAGAGGTGGAAGGATAGTATCGAATTCCACTTGAAGTAATTAGCGTCGACCCAATAACGTTTCGATTAATGAAAATTGCACAGGGGCTCGTTGCATGATATTCCAGCGCAAAGAATCGCGCCTGTTGCGTTTCAACATTGCGACAGAGCAATTGACAAAGCGGGTGCCAAACGAACGAGAAGCCAACAAGAATTTTGTACGCCACGCATAACTGAACATACTTATATATCGAATACTTCTTCGATTCGAATCAGTTTCTGGCATCGGATCAGGTATTCAGGTATCGCGGTGTTCGATCGCGCTGAATTGTATCGAGTTATCGAAACGAATCGTAGGAACTTCCTCGCACGCTTGAAAATTAAAGACTCGGGGGGGGGAGGGGATTAACGAGAACAATTCTAGCGATACTTTCTGTGTACTTTACGCGAGAAGTATCGAAACCAATAGCGGGAACTGATTCGCTCAGGAAAACACGTTAAAATAACGAACCGTTTCATGGTCGTGTTAGTAAATTTTATTTTATACACGTTTAACACCTTTTTAAAGCGTTTTTCTACGGCAACAGCATAACTCGCGTCGAGCCTCTTCTAAGCTCGACGAGACCTCGCTTTCGCGTCAGATGAAAACGGGAGAAGTGGGGTGGGGTTAAAAGTAACGTTTTCTAAAACACGATTTCCACCCAAAACTTGCCCAGTGGTACGTTCGGATCCATTGGGCATCGCAGAAAGACTGAATACGTCTAATTGTGTCTAGAGGGGACGGAGTTAAGAAAAGGTAAACAAAAGAAGATAAAAAAGAAAGAAAAAAAAAAAAGAAGTACATAAACGTGTTAAGCCTGTATTCTTAAGCTGAGCTTTTATGTAAGTCACAATTACGAAACTGAAGTAGATGAAGACTTTGTCGGATCGCGTTCCAAGACGAGCGGAAACAGGGGGTGTCGCGCGGTTCGCGGTCTCGGCTTTCCTCGATGGGAGAGCACGCGTCGCGAACAAATTGTATTTTGTACTTTTGTACGTTGCTGGCTCCACATTGGAATGCGATCTTGCAAAAAAAAAAAAAAATAAGTAAAAGACAAAGAAATAAGAAACAAACGAGATTTTCGGGTACGTTGCATCCGTATGCGTCCGCGTGTTCGTCTCACGACTACGGCGAACATACATTAATTTAGAGATATCATGTTCCATTCGAAGCGATGTTACACATGTTCGAATTTAATACAGTATTCTGTCGTCGGTACCGTCTACCTGTGTGCACCATTATCACGTTACCTGATTTTTCTGCCTAGAGAGCGTTTGTACCATTAGACAAGTGCGCGGTCTGGAGAGACGCATTTTGCATATACATTTCATATGGTATATATAATATATCGAACAATTAACGTACGGAGAGCGTGAAAACAATTGCAACTCTCACGTAGGAGAGAAGAACGCGCGTACGAACCTTCATTTGGATCGATTCTGTCGAACGAAAGCGATGGTAGTGTTCCTAGTGCGATCGACAAATTCGATATTTTTTATATTTTCTTTTTTAGAGACACTAGAACCACCGGGCGAGGCTTTCGAGGCTATCGTCGCGGCCCAGATTAGTCGATACCGTTCGGAAAGCTGTCGCGCGCGGTATTCTAAGATCTTTATTTCATTTTCCAGAAGGAACGTAGATCGCAATCGGAAGCTTTTCGACGGTCGTAGCCGGTGTTTGTCAACGAGTCAATTAGTGAACGGAATTCGTTTTGGACTAGTCCGATAACTTTTTCGTTCGAAGACGATCGATCATCGACGAAGGCGTTGTACGCGTTTACCCTGAAATTCTCGAGTTTCCTTGTTCGTAACGATCGTCGAGAAAACCGGGGCGACCGTTTCTCCGCGTGGCGTTCGAACTCGACTCCCCTGTTCGTCGCGTGTAGCTCCCGGAGAAGAGCGAGAGAATGCGTGCGTGCGCGAGTGCGAGAGAGACAGAGGAACGTATCAACCCCCGTGAGCTAGAATCCACGAAAGACACACGGTGCTAATCGAAAGTTCCAAAAAAAAAAAAAAAAGAAAAGAAAAAGAAAGGTAAAGAGAACAGGTGTGCGAGAGCGAGAACAGAAAAAAAAAACGGTTTCTCTACGAACAAAAGAAGATGAAAACAAAGGGGAGGGGGAGGCATTCGTTCGGATTTTCTGATTTAAAAAAAGGGAAAAATCGTTCGTTTCTTTTTGTCTATTTATTCCCACGATAATCTCTCTGTCGCGTGCATACAATAGACATAAAACGTTGTAACTACAAGGAACCGCAGAAACATAGTTAAGTGCCTACTCGTGCGAAAACGAAAGGAAGGGGGAAAAAATGGGAATCACAATGAAATTACGAACCGGTAGTAGCATTAACGATTACGATACTATATAACTATTAACTACGCTATATTATATTATACGCAATCCCTCGCCTTTTGGCGGAGCGTAGTCGTCGAGCAAGTGAATCCTTCGTTATCCGACAATATATAAAGAATATAGATAATCGTTCCAGTAAATCTATTATCGTCTGATCGCCGAGCTGATCGTAACACGAGCTTTCCGAACGATTACGATACTTCCTGTCGTGGTAGACGTTCGCTTCTCAAAGAGGAACGCCGTCGTAAAATTGAAGCACGTTCACGCCGCCGGTGCTGTTTGTGTTTCTCACCCATAGGGCGGCGCAGTGATACACGCCGTCTGATTGACACGCGAGTGCGAGCCACCGGTGGTACACGCCGGCGTGAACGTGTTAAACAGCAGAGGTGGTAATTCGGTTAATTACAAACGCGTTCCGACGCTGAGGGTGCCACCCAGCGAGGAGTAAGAACTTCGTAACGGTAGAAAGAATGTCTAAAGGCGAGGACACGAAAGGCAATAATAATATATAACGCGTTTTACAAAGTCGAAGAAGAATTAAGTGAGAAAAAATGGTTCCTGTTCCTCGGCATCGAACGCGTCATAGGGGTCCCTTTCAATCGTTACGTGACACGATTAAGATCGGTTAAAGCTTTCGGCAAAATGCATCGGACCCCGAATATTCTCGTGAGACGATGAACGGTCTCGGCGATCAGATCCCCGAAAGCTGTGAATCGAGTTGCGCTCGTTACTAGCGAAAGACGAAGAAACGGAGAAAAAGACGAGGACGACCGAGGGTATAACGATCCGGTCGTCCTCGAGAGTAAGAAAACTGGCAACGGTAGGAAGTTACTTCTCCCTGAAGCCTAATTGCATCCTGCGACTCGACGTTACAGTTAACTATATTTACGAGAAAAAAAAAAAGTATGTACCGTTGTAGAAGTATATCGAGTGGTATTTTAATGTAAAAGTTACACGAGAGAAGTGAGAAATGGCAGATCCGTACTATATAGAGTTAGAAGGATTTAGACGAGGGGGCGAAAGAAGTGAAACGAGAGAACGTTCCGGTGAAGAATCGGTGAAAAACGCGTAACTATTCGTCGTACTATCGACCACGAACAACATTCCCCGCGTGGACGATCGTCCACGCGAACGACGGGCAAAATTTTCGTTCGATGGTTATCGATGCCCTCTGAAATTGCATTATATATTTTTAATTAGTTTTCCGATCGTTCGTCCATCGTTCGAATAAAATTTTGCCCGTCCTCGACGCGAATCGACGCCGCTTCGCTTCTTTGCCCGCGACACACAGAACAGAGCCAAACGAATAACTGGATAGCATGACGTTCAAGGCTTGCGCGCAATAAAATGTTATTTACGTTGATGAAAGAGAACAAGACGGAGAAAAGAAACTCGAAATAACGAACCGAGCGACAAAACGTCATGAAACTCTCACGACGCGCATATTCTTTTTCTCTTCTTTCTATTTTTTTTTTTTTTTCTTCCTTTAAATCCCATGTAGAGAGACTCGTAGACGAGATTCCCCGTTGCGTACTAGATCGATCAATACAGGAAAGGATTTTTTCGTACTTTCCAACTTTTTTTATTCCACTTCCCCCGCCTATTTACTAACGCGACCAAGCGACCAGCTGCAGACAACTTTCGTTCGCTCGACGAAGAAGTTATTTTCGATTAAAATACGTTTGAATGTATAATTCCGAACTCGTCGTATTTTCTTTAATTAATTCTTCCTTCTTTTCGATGGGAACATGGTTCTGGACCTGGTCGATCGGCACCCCTACACCCACTATTTTCACCTAACAATCCCTCTGGGAAGATCGGTATGAGTACGATCAGGGATCTAACACTCTTCTCGACCGAACACCTTTAACTTTCGGGTATCGAGCTAACACCTGTCTTGCGCTTGTTAATTCTCGTACTTGTCTTCCCTGCAGCCTCGAAAGACCCTCATCTGGTGATTTCTTTCAGATTAAAAAGCGAAACTACCGAATCCAGCGAAACCGTGCACGAGGAGGCCGAGCCTGCGAACTAAACAATAAAATAATAAAAGAAACAAACAAAACAAACGAATTACTAAGAAACCCGCGACGAGATCGCGTTTAAAGTGCCGTCGAAACGAAACGAGAGTAACGCAATAAAACATAAAAAAAAAAAAAAATAATAAAAAAAAACACGCAAGTCCGTTCGTTGCTTTTCAATTATTTTTACAACCAGCTAAAAAGAGAAGAGCGGAACGCTATTTATTCGTACGCAAATGAATGCTTGACTGAGGAAATAAATCGACATTTTTGGTACACCGAAGCTACGCTTGATTCGACGACGGTCACGATCCTCCGACACGCCGAGGACGGGGCCAATTTTTGACAATTCATCCTTACCCCCCCCCCCCCCCCCTAAACCCCACGAGCTTTCAACGCTTCATCTCCCCCTCATCTGCGAAGAAGACCGCGTTTCAGTAACGGGATAAATTGTTCCTATTGTTTTTCAGTTTGTAGATTTTGCAATAAATTAATCTTGACGTTAACGCAAGTAGAGCGGGATAATTCTTTAGACGAAGATTAGTTTAAGTCCGAACTGTACGGGGTTTCTCGTAGTTTACAATCGTTCATCGATGTAGAGTGAAGCAGAGAGGAAGATTAACAGATCGTGGCAGTGAGGAGCAGACGAAGTTTGGATCATTGCTGACAATGAGCGTCAGTCGCTTGGAAGGTTTCACCGATTTAATAAACGTATTGGCAATTGTGCGCCTTTGTTGATTTTTTTACTAACACCATCCACTTCCATCTTCTTATCGGTAGCCTTTATTCGTAGCCTATCCCTTTACTTTCTAAGAAGAGTCGCTACAGTATTGTCTCGAAACAAGCAACTGTTTTCTGTCTCGAAATAAGAAACTCGTTATCCCCATCTTTTTATTTGAAATCGCCCGCCGAGTAGGAGGTACAATACTGTATTGCAAACAGTGATATCCCCGATATCAGAATATTTCGAATTAATCAGTTTTAGTCTCGCAACCATGTAAAAGTAATTCAGAAGCAGTTAATTTACGAAGATCTGCGGGCCGCGTCATCTGCTAAATTGATCGTAGCATCGCGTATGCTCATCCGCAGAGTCCTCGATCTCGAGCGCGTTAAATCACCGTGTTTTCCAGTCACAAGTTAAACTACGCGTGACTCCTTCGACGCGTGACTGGGTGTAGCGCGTAAACAAGTACAGCCTCCAAGAGAAATATCGTTCAAGCGCGTAGCTGCGGTGGCCCCGTTGCGTAATTCCTTCGAACGCGTACCGATCCTCTTCCGCGTAAATGCAAAAGTGATTCACGACGAAGACGGTCCCTGCTAATGGAACGCCGTACGCGATAAGTCGCCCAGTGACCAATCGCAAAACGCTGGACGATATCCTGCGAAAAATAGTTGAACAATTATTATTCCGTCGCCGTTGACGATTTCATTTAATTTGCAATAATATCTGCTTTAAGAATTAGAATTTCTGTAATTTTTGAAAACATTCTGTACGTCGTTGTTGTCTACATAAATGGTCGAAATTTAGGTGTGACCCGAGATGTGACCACGTGAATGATTATTTAGCGGAACGGACGCCGAGCGTCATTCGCGAACCGCGTCATCCCTTTTCACGCTTTCGAAGAAAACAAAAGGCCTACGTGTATCCATTCTTGACATTGAAGGTGACGTACAAAAGGATAGCGAATTTTACACGATAAGTATAATTTTCAAAAGTATGCGTCTTTAAAATACGAGCACCGATCGATCTACGCTGTGAAACTAATAATAAAGGTATAACAAATTCCATTTTCTATGATAAAAGAGTTACTGATGAGGTACTGATGATTTATGGATTAAGTAACAATGCGTATGCATACGAAAAAATGCAATTTTAGAATTTGTCTAAAAACATACAAAAGTATCATATTAAAAATTGCACAGAAACTTGTGAAATTTTGTTTATTATAGTTTGTTATATACCCTAAAATTACGTACCCTGTTACGTACCCTATTTTTCATAAAAACTGCACCTTTTGCTATAACACAAATAAAAGAGAATATCAAATATTTTAATATTTTATCACGACCCCCGTTTGGGGTCGCGACTCATAGTTTAAGAAGCCCTGACATAAAGCACACGATACCTGGAATTTAGCGCTTTTTACTAGAACAAATGAATGTCGGTCTCCGAAAATAACAACCCCACCGTAATTTCGCGGTACTCGAGGAAAACAAGAGGCTCCAACCGGATGCAACGCTCGAGGATGCACGTAGCTCGGAGTTCCCATCGATCATTCTAGTTTACCAGGTCGTTTATCACCTGCCGTGATACGTCACTGTACGATTAGCGTGCTCCCGTTTGACGTCATTGTTTCGTATAAATGCTGGAAGGATGGTTCCGTGGAACATAAACCTGCTGCAGAGCAATCCCAACGGATCAATCACTTTCAACAGTCTTTTTCCACGTTTCGTGAGAAAAGTTGCTTCTTATCGTCGATAGTGATAACTTTGGTGCGATAGTTGACAGACCTCAGTGCTCGAGACATCAAGATATCGTCATTCTTTGGACCTCGAGGAAAGGAATCTCTCTCACACACGGCAAAATGGTAAGGTTACTCTGCAAGATTCAAATTGTTGATCATTCCTTCGTTACTTCGTCAAAGTGTCCACATATTTAGTTAATAAAGAGAGGTTTCATACCAGAGACTAGCCTTCTAACATCTCGCATCAAGTAGCTCGTATTCCTTAGTTTACTTCGTTTTACTCTTCGCTCGAGTAAATGCCATTACAACGACGCCTCCACTGTCTGAAATGTCAAACAACTTTGTACCAATCCTTCGAGTCTCGATGAAATTAAAACTGTACTTTCATCGAACTTAACTCTTTCCTTATCCGGTCTGCTGGAGTGACGCCACTGAACGCCGTCTACAATCGGCACCCGTACACACGGCTCGTTAAGTTAAGCCTAAAACTGATAATCAAAAATTATAATCGATGAATTTCCTTGTTTCAGACTTCCAGCATGATCGTCATCCTGCTGACGCTGGTAAGCTGCTGCGCGGCGTTCCCAGTGAGGCCCGAAGGCAACCTGGGTCCGATCGTCGGAGTCCTGATCCAACAACCGGCTGGACTCGACGGCGGACCTCGAGAATCGTCCCCGATAGCTTACGCCGTACTGTTGGACGACTCGGAGATGCCGGAAGCCGCTCCTGGCGCTGCACTCGTCGAGAAACGCGACGTACAAGAAGAGGAACCGGAGGATCTGGAAACCGCGGCTGGCACTTACGCTCTTCGACCTCTGTTCGTCTACAGGCAACAGCTGGCGTACAGGGAACGGGTCAGGGAGGCTAACCGCCGCGGTAATCGATTCTGAGTCATCGATGACACCTGGCTGTCGTTGACAACCTTGCTAGAATGGACAGCGATTTGGATACCAAAGAAAATCACACCTCTTCCAGAAAAAGTCTCCTCGACGAATTAAAAGAGTCAAACCTGATCCAAGAATCGGGAGCTTCGGGATTCTCAAGGAATCTTGGGAATCTCGAAGGAGGGACACTGACGCGAGATGTTTTTTGTATCTCTTCCTATTCCAACGATACTTGTGGAAGGATCCACTCCAGAGGTTCTAGAACTCCGGGTTTCTAGAGCTTCAAGGTGCGCATAATTTCGATAAAGGATCCACCTGGCCATCGTATACTGCCTGAAACACCCCCCGACTTTCATCCAGCCGCCATCAATCTCGACATCGACTAGAAACTCAAGTTCTTCGCTGCATCCCCAAATTTGTTGAACCGAAACTTGGATCGCGAGCAGGAATGCAAACGTTACCATCTTCGGCTGCGTTCTGCGAGGAGGATTGCGTTCAAAGACGGAAGTAGTCCAACTGTTGGAGAAGGCTGTGTCACTTAGTGTCTCGTTAGAGAACGAGTACAAGTATCGAAGCTGTTAATTGGACGAGCAACGAGTCTACGTGACGCACGGGAACGACGTCGATCCTACAGCAAAACAAAGACACATACAGCAAAAATTTCTCTCAACTACACCTAAACATCAACCGCGCGACAGGGCGCAACTCTGTACCACTCTGTATCATCATTTTCGACTAGATTTTGTATCGTTACCAGAACATTGTATGGATGAATGATTTTGTATCGTTACCAGAACATTGTACGGATGAATGAACGCACGAGTGTCGACATCGTAGCATAAGTTTGTATTTTAACACGTTCAGTTTGTCAAAGAGTTCTTTGATTGCTGTAAGTTCCTAATCCTAAGGACGAAGAGCTACCCACCAAAGCAAACTTCGATTGTAATTAATATCTATTTAAAGAAACTTAGACGTAACGATGTTAACGTAGCTATTAAATCGCGTTTGTGATACGACTGTTTTTTTTTTTTTTTAGGAAAATAAACTTGAAATACTTGAAATAACTCGAAATGTTTTTCTTTCTCTTTCATAGAGAACGGTATCCTTTGTTTCCTCGATCGAACATTTTCTAGATCCTTGTGCTCGGAGTACTAACGATACTCGGAGGCTCCCAATAACGTTTTCAAAGGAGACAAAGAGTGACTCACAAATCGTGGTGAAAGTTGTATTTATTTTTGCAAGACTAACGATGATTCGCGTATCGGTAAATTTATTTAACTGCTATAAAAGCAAGTCTCTTTAGTCCCTTTATTGTTTACCGGTGTACATTTTTTAGATACCTCGTCGTTAAGCACAGACATAAATCCACAAGATTGAAGAAGTTAACGCAAGGATGAACTGTGGACAAATCCAGGAAGATTCAGCTGCTGTCTTCGCCGTTAGTTATCGGACCTGTTCGGAGCTCGTTTGACACTTTGGCCGTTTCCTAACGTTTCGTTAAGGAACTGAGAAAGTTAATTACGAAGGTGAGACGGTAATAAAAATACATCTGAATAGATATCGTGAATTTGACGTGGTTAGAAAAATTAGAGCTAGAACATGTGTCGAATCGTCTAATATTCGATAGTCTCGAAACAAAATTTTTATAAATTTTAGTTTGACAGCCAACGGTCAAGCTCCGAGTCAGCCCTGGTTTCTTCTCCTCGAGGATTACTTTCCTGGGAAAACCGGAACGGTTATGAATTCTCGCTTGGGCTGGCTCTCAGAACTTTTGGTGGCTGGTTCACGGTACCAAGACTGATCCATTCTGCCCTGTCTATGCTCAGAACTTTCGAGACTCTCCTCTTCGCCCACCCGATCAGCCGAGTCCTCATTGGACTCTGCATTCGCAGTGTCGTCTTCGACCTCCATCGACGAGGTATCACCTTGGTCTGGTGAATCCTCGACAACTGCTTCCTGTTGGTCGCATGTATCACAGGTATCGTCCTGCATAACTCCGTCAGAGTCCTCCGAGCTTGAGCACTCGCCGTCATCGGTGTCTCGCTTGGCACGAATATTTCTGATGGCTCCTAGGTCTATGATCAAACCCTGAGGACTTTCATGTGCAACGTCATCGGTTTTATTTAGATTCTTTTCGTTGGATTTTGTAGTTGCGGTATCCATCGTGGAAGATCGAGGGGTCGAGGATCCTTGCTCAGGACTGGCGTTAACTTCTTCCTGGAGTGTACCGTCAGCTGCTTGGTCGACACTTCGAATTACGTAAGTGACAATCTGATCATCGAGGTCGGACGACAAATTAGACGTAGTCGAAGGCTGCGATGTCGTCGAGGACTGCCACGCTTCCAAAACGACGCATTCCGATCGCTGGAGGATCAGTCCCAGGAGGATCGAGGTAAAGACAGCAACCGACGATACCATTCTCGATTTATTTCAGTGGTCACCGCTCGAAATTTGCGAACAATTCTGGCTTCTATCTTCGATACAGACTAAACGACCAGGAAGTGGTATCTGCTCTTTTATACCCGGTTGTGTAGCCGCTAAGTCGATTGCTAAACATTTATATATTGTCAGCGACGTACTAAGTGCCGCATCAGTTTTGGAAGAATCCCAACGATCTAGAAACCCTGGCCAGTCGAGGATCTAAGTACTTCCACAAGCAATGATTTCGGCGGAATGGCAGGATTCGTTTCGCACAGGAATTCTTACGTTTCGTAAGAATTAATCTCAGGACTCGGTTTTCCTGGAGTCGAGTGAAAGGACACTTTGGAGATTCAAATGTGGCACAATGAAAGCTTTTTTTTTAATAAATTATCGAAAGATTAATCGTAATATTAGCCCCAAGAGTGCAGATTAAATTAATTCTCGAGAACACACCAGAAGATTAGCAATGTTACATTGCACGGCGAGAAAACAATTGCGCGTTCAATAACTCGCGCTTTAACGTTCCAATTATTCCAATTAACGAGATCCTAACGAGGACGTAAAATTCGGACGCAATTCGCATCTGCAGCCGTGAAAGAGTAAATAGGAGATCGAAGTCTAGGCAACAGGTTCAAGGTGTACCTGGCCAAAGCGATGTACCGCAAGGTTGTTACTCACGTCTTTTAGCGGGAAAACGATAATTCTTTCGGCACTCGGTATAAAACCAGCGCGAACCGTTATCAGTGGTCAGACTTGAAGAAGCGTTTGCGAAGTTTTCGTCGAGACGAAGATCCGAGACGGTTGGAAAGCGGCGAAGGACCCTAAAACTGAAGCGATGAAGCACAAAATGGTACTGAAGAGGGGTACAGACATTAAACGATCTAAAGTGGTATTTCAAACACTGTCACGTTACGTAATATATATCAAACTTTGGTGGAGTTAGAAGTGATTTACAAAATTCGAATTTTTTTACGATAATAAATGAAATTATGGTGCGAGTAAATAAAACTTGAGTTCTTTTTCGCGAAAATTAATGTTATTTAAATACGTTAGTAGAGCAGGGTTCGAGATATGGTCACCTCGATACGTGTTAAATTATGACGCTTGTTATTAGATTAGCAAGTTTCAGATAGCAATCTGCTGTATGGTAATACTCCACGGAAACGTTTCAACTGCGAAACCTTTGGATCCCGAGGACCTGGAGAGCCTGCTACCACCGACGCCACACGATAAGAACGAAACTATGGCAGCCGTCGTCCAGGATCCTGTCGTCCAGGACGCTGTCCAGCAAGCAGCCAGCAACGCGTCGCTAAATGGACTCGTCGTTAAAAAGAATGTTTACATATTGCCAGCCACCGATCCGAACAGGGTATGTACCAGTAAAATATAAACAAATACGTCGCTGCCATTCATCGTGTAAGAAAAAAAAAAAAAAAAAAAAAATATTCACGCGATGAACAGTATAATAAATACTCGGGACGAAGACGTGCTATCCTTGTTTTCTTAATTCCTCTTTCCTATCGATAGAATGCAGTTAACCTCAGAATTAAAAACAAGGCAAACTACAGGGGATAGACGAGTTTCAATATTTTTCTATCGAGACGGTCATCGTTCGATAGAATCATTGATAGATAGAATCATTGATAGATAGAATGATTCCGATCGAAGAGCTCGACATCTTCGACTACAGTTTCCTTTTGGTTCAAGGTACTCTCGAAACGCGAGCATATTCTGGTGGTCCCAACGGAGAACTTGGAGGACGTTCGCAGGAATATCACGGAAGCCAAGCGTGCAGAGGCTGAATCCGGCGAGTTTACCTCGCCTGAGAACCAGCCTTTCATAGGCGACGAGGACGAATACACGTCTGAGGTACGGAGTAATAATTCAACGAATAAATTCCATCGAGGCAGATCTCTATCTTCTGTAGGCCGCGACAAAGCGCGCCGAGTTTATTGCGCAAGAAGATGCACGTCCAATGTTTACGTTGCGCCGTGAAGTTTAGAGTAACGAGGTTCCGTGTTTCCATCTGTCTCGATGGATTCCTTCTAATCACGAGTAAGGTCTGACTGGAAAAGTCATTCGTGAAATAATCAACTTAATTGCCCCCTTCGTTTCATCGAAACTAAACTAATCCCTTTCGTTTCGTGTCGGACAGTCCCTCGATATCGAAGGAAGCGGAAACGAAGCGGTTCAGCCCACGAAGGATGTCCCATTCCAGTGGACAGAGTACACGGAACAGTCACCATCGAACGCGGAACGTAAAACTGAAACCAAGTTCCTGGAGGACAAGCTAACGCATGACGCACCGATGCCAGAAGACGATTCGAAGAAGGTAGCCGTCCCCATCGTGGCGGTCATCGATCCTTCGAATGCGGAAAAGGGCAAGGTGAACAGTCCCATTGTGGCCATCCTACCGAATCAGCTGAACAAAGACGCCCTGGAGAATCAGGTTCAGTTCCTCAAGGACAACAGCGACAAGATCCAGAGCAATGCTCAGAACGTCGTCGACGAATCGTCGTTGACCATCGATCCTGACTACCGGAAACCATCTACGACCCCGTTGGAGGTAAATCCATCGGGCAATTCCGTTTACGAGAAGATAATATAAAGCATAGCAAAGCGATCGTTGCAAAATGTAAACACTAGACGGTCCTAATAAAGCGAGAGTAGCAAAAGCATTCGTCTGTTTTCTTCCACGTTCCTCCCGCTGGCAAAGAATGTCACCGACGAGTGGAAGCGATTTATCCACGTCGAGAAATATCTTATACGAATACCAGAACGAGGACGAAACAATTCTCCTGAAACAAGTATATCGTTTTCAGATGAAGATTGCGTCGTCGCCGACTGAAGGAACGCTGCCAGTCCAGCTCTTACCGGAAGTAGCCTCGAGCATGGCGACAGAAGACTTCCTGGCTCCTGTCGTGGTGCAACGCTGGAGGATCGTCGAGCCAATCTTTACAGACGACGCCGCTGCGTATCCGCGACAAACTGGCGACATGGAGGTCGCGGAGGACATCATCTTCAGGCCTTTGTTCAGGTATCGACAGGAGGCGCAGGAACAGTCCAGATACTCCAGCTACGACTACTATCCCAGGCGCAGATATGGCTACGGGTCTCGATACAACGATTAATGAAGAAATGAAGTTTCTTGTCTAACTGAGGAAAAATATCCCCGATGAATAAAAAGAAAATCTTACTCGATGGCGCTGTTGTGTTTCCTTCGACGTATGTTGAACGTTGTTCAACTATATTCAGTCTTGACATTTACATATTTAGGATCTTGTGTACCGCTCAAAATTCGTTCTTCCTCGTCGTCCTCTGTGGAAATAAAGAAATGTGTTACCAATAAAATTGTTACCAACGATAGCTTTCCGATGGCTTGCGAATCCTTTCCTGGATTCTTTCTTATATTTTCTTATATTTCGCGAACGTACGCGCGTTAACGTTGTCACTCGACCTTATTCCAGGACGGAAATTGCAGTTACGCGTGCCAGTTTGCGCGCAGTTCTAGAGGATCGACGCGTTTTTGCTGGCGAGATCGATGGGCCTCTTAGAAACTCGGTTATGCGATGAATAGAAAATCGCGACGAGGAATTACGAAACATTTCTCCGTCGTCGTACACGGAAACGAAGGATCCCGTGGCTTTTCATAACTGCGATGGCCTCGACCTAGACCCACATAATCTTGGTTCGATCTAATCAAACGGCGATCGAAGTTAGATACCAAGAAAGATTAACGATGTTTGCGCTCGTTAAAGACGTTCGGCGAACGCTCGCAAACCAGTTTTTTCCACGAATGTATTTCAATGGGCATTTGTAGACATCAATTAACGCGACGTCGTTAATGCCCCCAGGCGGAATCGATTAGTCATTCGTCTTTTAAATCTATTCATTCACCGACAGCGTATTCTAATACAATTACTTTAAAACGATCGGTCAAATAATAAATCACCTCTCGCAATTGGAAGTAACCGTCGAGTAACTGTACTGCTCATTTATCTGTACAATTTATTCTAACGTTTCCACGTTCCGATTTCTTCTTATTTTTCCTACGTGGTTGGCGTTACGAGTTATCTATATTTCCAGTCAAATTCAGCTCGTTTCTATCGCAGGCTAAGTTCTGAGAAACCCATCGTCATTGTTTAGAGTTCGCCGATCATCCTTGCTCGACTTCTATGAAAACTAGCAGCGATGCGTTTCTGTGATAGAGATTCCCACGGTGAGAGCGGAAAAGTTTGCAAAGGATACCGCTACAGGATCGTCGCGATCAAAGGATCGCCTGATCACGGAGGAATGCGAGGTGTTCGGGCAGGAAAACTTTCGCGAAAGCCTGTTCGCGGAGGAGAAAAAAATCAACGGGACCATCTTTCTCCGACTCTCCTCGAGAAACTATTCCCAAAGGTGACTCACCGACTTCTGCTGGAAGCTCAACAACCGAGATTCTTACCGCGAACAGGACTATTCCCTCTCTACAGGAAATCTGCATACCATGTGTGCCATATCAGCTCGATTGCGTTCTTTGAGATCATAAACGCGCCACGTATATAACCGATGCTCGGTTGATCGGTTCCCTCAATCGTGATTTAAGCCTCGACGCGAAAGGAAACGGTGTTGGAAGCCTAAGAGCTGCGCGCAATAAGATGACATCCGCCGTGTGGACCCTGCTACTGGTAAGAACATTTCACCCTCCGTAGTTTGGAACGAACTCTTCGTCGTTTCGGTTACTTTTAAGAAGGAGAATACGTCTGGATTTGCATGAATTTTTTTAGCAAGAAAGGAATGTGTATAATGTAATGAAAGTTTGAGAACATTTTACACGTACGTTCAAGTAGATATTGTAAATTTCTTGATGTATTTTCTCGGGAAATGTGGAAGATATCAGCTGCCACGGAGGTCACCATCAAAACGCAGATGTTTTGCGTGGATTCTGGAGGCCACAGTTTTCGCCCGATAGTAATAGGGATTTAAATTTACCTTAAAGACATGTCTTTCTTCTATATGAACCTAAATTCCTACCTAAAAAATTGAATATTGCATTTTCACAGGCGTTTAAACGTAACAGCATAATTTTTTGACATTTTTGTATAACGTTTTTTGAAAGAAAGAAATTTATGATTTCAAGTAAAAACTGTGGTAGCAGGAAATATTACCAAAAAATTACAATATTTACTTGAACGTATGTATAAAATGTCCTCGAAGTTTCATTAAATTATATACGTTCCTTCCTTGCTATAAAAATTCATACAAATCACTAAAAAAAATGTAGTTTTAAATCTATTTATCCCCTTAAACTCTGGGATGTTTTGAACGCGACTCCAGCGCGGAAACTAAGAACGATAACTAAGGCAAGAGGGAGTCTCTAATCCCCTGGGTTTTCTGATAACAATTACAGCTATCGCTAAACCAAAGAGAATAAATTAGCAACCTGCAGTGCCGAGTTTACGGTACGCAAAGAATTCCAGTTAAAGGAACGCGCGATTAAAAACATTACAATCGTTTACAAATCTTTACAAAATCTTTGTCTCTCGTTTTCCGCTCCAGATTCTCTGCTTGGTCGCGTCGTTCGACGTAGACGCCGCAACGAAATCGCCGAAAAATCTCTCAGATTCGAGGGAATCGAGCTCGGAGAGCGAGAAGGCGGGTCTTCCATCCAGACTTCCGAGAAGGTTCCGGCAAAACAGCCGCACCAGGAGAGTGCACATAGAGAATCAAACCGGGTTCGATGGGAAGGTGGAGAAGATTCATATAAACTCCGAGGAAGACCTTCCAGGAGTTCGAGCGTACGGAATGCCTAAAAAGAGTTTGATGAGCAACGACGATATCGACCGGATGCTGGGAAAGGAAGTCGAAGGGAAACTCGAAGTTGGTTCGAGACCCTTGCGCGCGGTACGTGGAAGCGAAAGAGAAAATTATCTATGATGTTTACGGTCCGACGTGTAAGATTAATTCCGACGAGATCGACCAACGAAGTATACAATTTCAGATCGAGGCCTACGGAAAGTCCAAAGAGCGCCTGGAGAACAACGGTGAAATAGAAAGAGTGCAATCGCCAGTGTCCATGGGGCATCAGGTACCAAGGGACGCAGGGGCGAGGGTGTCCAGGTCCATCGAGGAGGAACCGAATGAAAAGATCAAAGGAGACTCTAAAGGTGACCCGGAGGACCTCGAGGCTCAGGACGCGAAGGTCTTCAGGCCGTTGTTCGTCTACAGGCAACAGGTGGCGAGGAGACAACACCGTCTCAACAATCAACCGTACGGCTATCGTGCGAATCAGATACCTCGCTACGGCCGACCAACAGTTTACTGACGTCCTTTCACCCGATGACGCGTTCAACGCTTAATCGACCGAACGAGGAACGAGAGTCGAGATTTTGTTTGAGTTCGCGACGAACGTCCCTGAGCGGGTCGATTACCATAATAATGATTAACCACCGATTGTGTCACCGTCGCTTTGTGCCATAGAAGAAAGCCACTCTCACTTATTGACACTTCCATTCGTTGTGTCAATAAGTGATTCATGCGATTGGAAGTGTCGATAGAGCACTAGTCGGGCCTTGGTCGAACTTGAAGGAAAGTGACGTAAATTTCGAGTTGCAGAATGTTATTATTCAATGTACGGTTTCAAGTTACGACGATATTTACAGTCAGTATCATAAATGTTCGTACCCTTTACGTCTATTAAAGAAATTTGTTTAAACTGAATGGTAGGTTTGATGTTAAGCATATATATAAGCATATTCATATACATAATGTACAATGATAATGTGTATATGTATATCAATATGTATAATGATAAATTCATTTGGTAATATCAAAACTATTATTTAATTTAGTCAAGCTTCTTCAATAGACACAGAGGATACGAATGTTTATGGGATCGGTCGGAGGGTTGAAAACGTTCGAGTCGCAGGGGTCTGACTGCATGCATGTCCGAGGTCTACGCGCGAGAAGATGGATGGAACGTTGCCACAGGACGTCTCACACGTGGTCACGCGATACCAAAAAGTATTATAATAAGATTGCTTCTTAGATGCTCGAGTCCCAGACTCGTGTAGCTAGATGCCGACTAGTACTTAACGAGGATCGTAGAATAGCCAATATTTTATGTATGCGCATAATAAACGATAATTTTGCATAAGATCAAAGATCAAATGTTTACTTTCCTTGGGTAGAAAATGTCCTTGAGTCAACTTCTTAGCGACAAAGCGAAGGGTACTTGTAAAAAATAAGTATAATTATCATTTTCCCGTATCGATTTTCTTCGTCAACGTGATGATCGTACTTCTGGTATCACTCCGTATATCGACATGAAACGAAAAAACAGATGAGAAATTCGTGACGGCGAATTCACCTCTCCTCCCGTTTCGTCGTTTTTATTTACGATTCGTTGTCGTGCCTCGTGTTTTGGTAAATTTATCAGACGTATCATGTCAACGTTGTAAAATCTCCGATTGCAAATTGTCCAATGTCGAGGTGTAAGTCACTCGTTCGAAAAATCAAGATCGACATCGTACGAGATGCGTAACGGACGGAAAACGATTATAGCGCTAACCCTTGAAAATCAAGCTAATAAAAACGCCAAAGAAAATAGCGTCGTAAAAGAAGCGAAGAGGTACATAAAGCGAAACTACGTAAACCGAGGTTGCTTATATCGAGATACATTAAGTAACGCGCCATTCTAATTGCACGTTCCGTAGAAAATTATCGGTGCTGCATTTGGTAGCGGTGTTCGCGTTGAACCTGGTGGATGTTTTGTTGCTCGGCGTCCTTTTTCCCTATATGATATGGGTATGGATCTACCAGAACACTCGCGCGAGGATCGTCCTCAAAGCCATCGCTCAGGTACGTTTGTGATGTTTCCACGTCTGGGTAACGCAATACTGTCTTGTATTTTGTTGGACAGGTCACACTGGAGTTAATCATGTGGGTGATATTCGCCGGAGTGTCCGTACTGATGACCGCCACCTTCGTCGTAGAGGACATCTGCAAACGTAAAAAGAACGACGCGGATAAATCGGTACACTCGCTGAACGCACAGAACGAAATCGCTCTCAGCGATAAGGAATCGGACTCTAGCGTTCCGAACACCCAAAGCCATTCGACGACACAGGACGATTAAGAAATTTTACATGAAAAAATAAACGAAATTAATAAACACGTAACAAACGAATCATTATTATTTATTTTATCGTTGAAAAGGGGGACATCTATTTTTCGATACAACGAAACCAAGAAATTTCCATTTTACCAAACGACTAGAGTCCACGGTGATTAACGGATTATCTGATAGAGGAAAGCACCGAGGCACGAGTGAAAGTTTACGAGCTTAACAAAAATGCCCGGTAGGACGGGCAATTTGAGAAAGCCAAAGCGTTATCGCAAGTTCACGGGGTATATAAGGGAATGGGGAACCTTTTGGCATTCAGTCGTAAGCAAAATTTCTTAGAAATATGTGGATGCCGAGAACGGTTTTGTTCCTGGTAAGTTTCATTTATTCTGATCGGTATCATCGATTCTCTGTTTCCATAATCATTGTCGTTAATTTTCCAGGCCTTTTCCTTTGCCGCGATGGCGACGTCGAAGCGAGCCGATTCTAAATTTTTGGAAACGTACCCCGTCGATGAGAAATTCCTAAACGACAAGTTGACGGACAAGTTCCCGGTGAGCCAGGATCTGGAAGAGCCCGCGTCCGCGTTACCGAGACAGAAAACAATGGTGGACGCGATGTTGGAGGTCTCGGCGGCCAAGTACAACGTCCTCAAGAGTATCAAAGAGAACGAAGATCGAATCTTGAATGCCATCGCCAAACTCGGCTTGGGCCATTTGGAGGTCATCAGGGCAGCGAAGATAGCGTGTCTGAAAACAATGGCGGGCAAAATCATGAATATGGTAGAGCAGCTACCGAGCGATAAGCTCAACGCATTGTTGCAATCACCTCTGTTCGATCTCGCGGCTGATATGTTGCTACCCATCCTCTCAGACGTCGGCACCTCGAATGTCGAACTGGGAAACAGGCATTAAATAATGTTTAATCGATAAGAATTTCTCTGGAAGGGGCACCGCTGCAATTCTCAACCCCTCATTTCTTCATCTGCAAAGAGTTAATAAATTACTCCCATAAGTTTGTAATTATTTCACCGTGACTGCTTATTTCGCTTCTGTGTCGCGGTCGTTGATTTGTTAAATCCTCGAATCGAGTAAATAGGTTGCCGAGTTTGACCCGCGATGCACGACCTTTCACACTGTATCCGGTATGGATTACAATAAATTATCATCATCGAGCGAAAATTGATTCATACTTCCATCGTTTCACGCAAAGCTTCCTTTTGCAAACTTTTCCTTTGTCTGCGTCGTAGGCGCAGTACTGTTGGATGCGTGACAGAGACAGCGTGAAACGGTTATTCCCGTCGATGAAATAAAATCCACGTAAGTAAAGAGGCTTCGTACGTTTAAAATACTATTTGCCGAACGGATAGGAACGTGCGCGCGTGTAGGTACGCAAGGTGTCCGTCATAAAAGACAGCAACGTTTCGAAGAAATTCAGTACCAAATCCAGTGGTTCCGCGTTGAATCATCGATTTTGATCGATAAAGTGTCTCGACCTTTACGCATCTTTGACGGTAAGCGAGCTACGTCCCTGGCCTTGATCGTATTCGTATTGTTCCTTGAAACGCAACGCGGTTCTTCGAACGATTTAGGGATTCTCTTCCAATTATTATTATCGAGACTAGTTGATAAGGAATCTTCTATTTTCCAGGATATGAAGGCCGTAGTCGCTGTAATCCTGTTATTGTCGGTGGTTGAAGGCAATGTTTTCTGGAAAGACATTTTAAGTGGACAATGGAGAGGGCCTCAACAATCGAGTCACTCGTGTCCCCCGGGACAGTCATGTCCGCTACCAGGACAATCGTTTCAACAGCCTATGCAAACATTCCATCAGCATAGAGAATCTTTCCAACCACCTGGACCACCATTCCCATATCCTGGATTTGTTCCAGGAAGACACCACCCGCAACACTGGAATCCCCAGCAGCAACAACCAAGCACTGCCATAGACATTAGCAATGCTGAATGGGTTTGCCATAATCCAAAAACCGGCAACATGGTATGCCGTATACAAAGTGGTCCGCGTAAAGTGTTACTTTTATCGAATTTATTTATATTGAATGGTACACGCCGTTTTGGTTGGCTAATTTAAAAATGAATAACGTTAACTCGTTACGTGGACCATTCTGTCGACTGATTATTACAGACGAATTACGTATTCATAAACCACCTTATGGTGTATAGGGTAATCTAATAAAATAAGGTAAATTTACAAAAGAAAGACTTTCATTACCGAAGGTTCACTTACAGATGATTATTGCTACCGTCGATGGAACAGAGACAATGACTAATGGACCACCCCAAAATGAACTTCCCAATCACGAGGAAAATCCGACCACTGGAAACTCTGACATCGGAAATCCCGGTTTTGGAGCTAACCCTACTACAGGAAATGACGCAGACGAATCTTCCAAACAACATGGTGGAGAAGGACTCATCGACATTAGAATGGGAAGCAATTAAATATGAATAAGATACGGCACTACGGAATAATTGGCAAGGTTAGGTAAAAGAGTATAATAGTCAATCTTATATTTGTATTTCATATTTTATCATATATCAAACTATGACACGAATCAAGAAAATAAAATGCAAGAATGTTACCCATGGCACCAGATGTGGAATAATTCACGAGCGGTAGACCCTTCAAAACCTATTTGTTACGATTAAAGTTAATACTAATACACTTACTGAAAAAAAACCCACACACAACAGTTTAAACTTTACAGTTTAAACTTTACTGTATTGAAAACGTTAAACAATGTTTAACTTTAGTGTACAACTTTAAGGTCAAATTAATAAGGCAACGCTAATAAAAGATATAGAAGAATATCAGTCGGAAAGTGACAATGTCTGGTGAGTCAAAATCGCATTACGATGGCTCGTGTCACTTGCCAGCGACTGGGGTTGCCGTTTGCCGTATGCCGTCCTAAGCCTGTAACAATGAAGAGTCCGTGATAGGTACAACATGAGTAAGTAAGACGAAAGATCCCCGAACGGCAATCTTGCCGGCGCCGGCGAATGGAATCTCTCAACGTTTCAAGAGCGAGAGAGAAAGACTCATATTCACCGTCCCTCTCAACTCTCAAAATTGTCCGAAGTCATCCGAAGCGCTGGGCTCACGTACGCGCGGATCGTGGAGTTGTGTGCATGGTGGGGTAAATTCTCGATACTCCGGCCATTATCTTTAGCATCACTGAATAGAGTACGGACCGAATGAAAACTATCAAAACTTCCTCACTGTACCGCAGACGGCGCTACAGTCGGAAATCTTCGTATCTTACAACACTGTCTAGACATGCTCAATGTCAAGAATACCAACTATTTCGCTACACACCCATTGCAAAACACTTGGGCGTTTTGCTGTTGAGAACACTGAACATAGGTTTAAAATTAATTTAGTCTGTCTACCGCTAGATGGATTTTCGTTGAAAAAAAATCTTTGTACGATAAGCAAACCTAAAATCTGTTTTTCACTAAATTCAACAATTCTTGTAAATAGATTATCAATTGAAACGTTAAAAGAATATCACAAATGAGAAATAGAATAAACTATTTTATATAGTCTATGTAAAAATAAAAAAAGAGTAATTTTCTAATGGTATCAAGAAAAAGATATGACATTATAAACGAAACACCTGAATCTATTATCTGTACTTTAAATACATGTTTTCTTTAAACCCTCCTTAGAATTAAACCGTTATAATTAATACTTTCAAATACTGTTCGCCACTTTTTAAAGAAAGTTGGCACTGAGATATAATAGAGGACGCTGCGACAAAAAGTGGCAAGCATTTTGGAATATATTACTATCTCGAACAACATAACCTTAAAGGGTGCCTTGATAACCCGCTGTCGGCGGATGAACTGTCAATTCCGGTGTATTTAGGGAGAGTGTTGCGTGCCGTATCGTTTGCCAGAAATTTGGGAAATTCGTGTCGACTGACCAGAGTCCACGAATTTCCGAAGATCTTCCTACAAATCAGTATTCACAGCATTTGAAATAAATAAATTACTTTTAATACGCGACCGCACCCGTCTTTTGCCTAGTTAGGTGCGGTGATTCATAGAGATAATTTTTATTATCGCCCGTTTACTCGGATAATATCGTATGTAAATTCATCGAATTCTCTGTAAAAATCAGTGGCAAAATGACAGATGTTCTTAGCTTAGGTGTCGATGCTATCAGCTGTCATGCTTGGAATAAAGACAAAAAAGGTTTGACGTTCGTTTAATCGAATATAATTTTTCTCCCTTAACGAATAAGCAGTTTTAACGTGTTCCCACAGAAGTGGCTGTCTGTCCAAATAATAACGAGATTCAAGTTCACAAACGTACATCGAATGGTTGGAAATTACTGCAGAATCTACAAGAACACGATATGCATGTCATGGGACTCGATTGGGCACCGAATACTAACCGTATAGTAACCTGTTCCGCGGATAAGAATGCATACGTTTGGACGCAAGAAGGAGATGGAAAGTGGAATCCAGCTTGGGTGCTCTTAAGAATAAATCGAGCTGCAACTTGTGTAAAATGGTCTCCTTTAGGTACAATGAATATATATATTGTTTCAAGTAAATTCAATCCTCTCATCGAATTAATTAATATATTGCTTACATTTTTTATTTATAGAAAATAAATTTGCCGTCGGATCTGGAGGTAGAGTAATAGCTGTATGTTACTTTGTCTCTGAGAATAATTGGTGGCAATGTAAGCATATAAAGCGTCCGTTAAGGTCCACTGTAACCACAGTCGATTGGCATCCAGACAACAAAGTTTTGGTTGCCGGATCCACTGACTACAAAGTTCGTGTCTTTAGCGCTTTTATCAGCGACATGGAGGATGCACCAGGGACAAGTCCTTGGGGTCAAAGTAATACTTTAGGAACGTTACTCGCCGAATTCCAAAACAGTCCCAATGGAGGTAGACAAAGTTACTTTCTTATCGCGAGCGTAAATGGTATTCATTCTTGCCAAACATTCTCTTTTCTGTGTATCTAGGGGGTTGGATACATTCTGTTGCATTTAGTCCTTGCGGTAATAAAATTTGTTGGGTGGCGCACAATTCATCTATATGCATCGCGGATGCTACCAAAGGAAATGCAATTGTACGATTGTACACAAAGCATTTGCCATTTTTAAGTTGCGTTTGGATGGGATCCAATTCCATTGTTGCCGCGGTATTTATATATATATATTTTTTTTTTTAAAAAAAGAAGATTATTTTCGCTATTTTTCGAACGGTATATTAATTTCATCTACGTTTTAGGGTCATAGTTGTATGCCCATGCTATATTCCATAGACAACAATGGTCAACTGTGTTTTGTATCGAAGTTAGACAACACACAGAAAAAAGAGGCTGCCGGATTATCGGCGATGCGTAAATTCCAATCGTTGGATCGGCAAGCGAGAACCGATACGAACGACAACGCCTTGGACAGTATACACCAAAATACAATTAACTGCGTACGCAGAGTATCCGATAACGAATTTAGTACGAGCAGTTTAGACGGTCAACTCGTAGTATGGGATCTCAAGGTAAATTCTATCAACACGCATCGATATTAAACAAAAAAATAATTCGCTCGTTAATTCTTTTCTTCCTCTTTCTATTATCCAGCTTTTAGAGAATTCCATCGCCGGTCTCAAGATAGCATAAGTAAAATTTTTTTTATATCATAAAGATGGATGAAGATATTACATCAAACTCAAAGATGTATAAATGTTAAAACTGAAAAAAATATACAATTTCTCATTACTTTCCGTGGTGTTGATCTCTTCTGCGTAACGTTACTAGCTTAGTTTCGACGAGCAGACACAGAAAGAGTTAACGCGATATACTTCATGCACCTGAAACTAGTCAGTTTCGTTTGAGATTTCATTTACATTGTTTTTCTTTCTTTTTGCATTAGAGAACATCGAAGGAAATTTGTGGTTCTAGGTATACGTATGAACCCATGGATCGAGTTACACCGAGTATACAGTTACATAAAAGTTAGTGTCTCGTAACTTGTACAGTATTTTAAGTTTTGGCGATTGCTAACAAGTGGAGGTAATATCGCCAGCGTTTGTGGTCGAAATAAATTTCTAATATCGCTACTGTTCGTTGCGTTTCATCAAGTACGATGTGGCAGTGTTGCCATCTAGCGCTTCAGCCACGAAGAATGAGAAGGGACTAGCCGAACTTTACGATTTTTCTTCGGCCGACACGATTCGAATCGCACCGTTGCCGTGCGTTCGCTGCGTGACAGACGCTAACGCTTTTCAGTTGAACGGTTTGCATAGCGTCGGGCGTCGCGACGCGTACGACGGATCACCAATCGGCAGGCGTACGCTCAGGGATCAGCTCTCCTCGCGGCGCCAGGAAACGAACACGGTTCGAGTGGGGGGCAGCCGGACAAGTTCAGCGAGAATATCGATTCAGTCTCGCGCAAACCACCCCCATGTGTCGTGTCCGTTGCAGCAGCTCCACCTTTCAGCTTTGTTTTCGGCTCGGTGTCATGACTGACACATAAACAGAGCCGTGTCGCGGTGAAACGCTCACCTAGACGGTGGTCCACGGAACGCGTCGTCGAGCGAACTGTCGCGGCGAGCCCTGAGAAAATACGGGGTACCGATCGTCGTCGATAGAAATTCTCCGTTAAAGCTTATCGATTCGCGGACTATTCCCGAAGAGGCGTTCCGTTGTTCGTGCACGTCGCTGTAGTGAGGTGGTCAAGTTTATTACATAAACCCTCGCGCGTGTTTCGACGTTTTCGTTCCTCCCATCGAATTACTCGCGGGTGATTCGAATTACCCGTTTACGGTGTATATTATTCTCGCCCCTCGTTCACGGCCGCTCGTCGTTTAATCGTCGGTCGTGGCGGCGCGATTAAAATAGATCTTTCCAGCAAAACTGTTCCATCATCGATTCGTTTCGTAGACCGCTCCCGGGAGGGCTGCCCGTCCCGTTCGTCGTCGCATCCCGGCGATGCACGCCGTATACCGCGATAAATTTAGAAGATCGCATCGATACGGTTGACAAGCTAGCAATCGAATGTCCCTCTTCGGAATAGCTCGACCCGATCCTAATCAGTTACGTGCGGCCGCGCGAGACACTTGTGATTTCCATCGTGGACGCGGATCGATGCCGTAAACACGAAAAAGAGGAGAAGAAAAAACGAAGCGGCTAGGAAAAAAAGAAAAGAGGGATCGCGTTGAAACATCGAATCCATGGTACGTGCAGCTCGAATATGAAGCGCTTCGATCACGGCCCTGTCGGTCCGTGTTCGTCTTGACTACGGAATCGTGGGAGAACGACGGGAGAGCGCCACCGCTTCTTGAGAGATGTCTTCGATATCAGCGCAAGGGGTCGTCGAGAGAGCCAGCGCCGAGTTAACCAAGAGAATCAACGGACTGGGGTTGAGAGGGTCCAAGCATCATGGTAAATCATTGCCTCTTACCTTATTAATCATTAAACTCCTTTCGCGAACTTAACACTAGACTCGTGCATTTAACATACATACATGGAGAACATACAACAAAAATATACGTAATATACGTAGACAACGATCTATTAATTTAGTATAATAATTCAGTGTTTCATTTTCCGTATACATTCCGATTATGTTTAGCATGTATCGTAAATGTCTAAAATCCGCAGTCTGCTTATGACGTACACCGACGCGAGAACATATGCGAAACGTATTCGGAATACATTTACGCGGAATTAAATATCGGTGGTATCGAACGTACTTTTTAATGTCAGAATTTATTCTAATACCATCGTGTTAACCCATTCGCTGCCGACTACGAGATATCTCGTATAGATTGCAATTAGCTACGGAATGATTTCGTAACCGTTTGAGGAATTATTAATTAGGAATTATTAAAAAGAACGAACGAAAGTTTAATGTAACGTAGTTAGTTTAGCGTACGCTATAGATGCGCGTTAAATATTTCATAATAAGAGAGAATGTCCTTTGCCACGACTAATTTCGTAATCGATGGCCAATCTACTTGAACAGGACCTACTTCACGCATTGATCGACGTTGGGAAAAAAACTCTGAATTAATTAATAATTATGCTTGCATAGATAAATTAAATAGAAAAAGAGGTTTATGTATTTGAAGTTCTTTTCGACTCGAGGGTTTGAATAATATTCCTGCCCAGCCCCGATTCGGACCCCAACTCGACTCCTAACCTAGTTTTGGTTCGAATGTTACCCAAAGCTCGGCCAGTGTCTCTGCTAGCACCGATACAGGATCAAACCTAGTCCAAGACTTAACTAACCTAACCTTGATCGTGTTCGAAAAGCCTGAGGTCAACGTATACTCGTCGTTCGAGTTTTTCCCTGTTTTTCCCTGTTTTCCCCGGAACGTTTGATCCGTCGTTGAAACGAACCTTTGCAATATTTCGTCAGCCGTCATTACGTAATCGCGATGACCAATTGATTTTCTGTTAAACCGCGAAACAACACCCGATCATTTCATCGTTTTCTCGATTCAGCGTTACGCAAACGTCCACCAGCCCTGGTCTGCGGAAGCACGTCCCCGTCGTATCCGAAATTCGTCGTTTGGAATCGGTTCGTTAAGTGGCCCACCTTCGGTCGCAATCCGAACTGCAATGGAATCGATAGCATTCGTCCTCGTGGCACGTGGAAACGTAGAAACTGGAATGCATCGAGTGTCCGAGTTCCTTTCTTCGTCTTTCTCTTTGATCTGATTTCCGGTTCCGCGCGATACACGACTTAACGACGCCCCTCTCAATTAGAGGCGCATTTCTTCTAGGATTTTCCGGTATTCGAGTGTACTCGAGCACTTCAACTGGTGTTCGACGAATGCAAACATTCCAAGTATTCAGACTTTACTCGAAGACTTATTCGTATCGTAGGACTCCTGAGCAGCCACAGTGGCGGTATAATCGCTCTTTCCGAGTACACGTGTTATTCTACTATCTAAAAAGTATCGTAAATATTTATTATTCTTTACCATCTCTTTTTAAGGAGTAGGTTTCCTTCGAATTAGTTGGAAATACCAGCAGAAAAATGGTATCGGGACCACGGGCGATCGAACACGGGGCTCCGGCGTAGGAGTCGGCCGCTTTTCCCACTGGACCAACCCGCAGCTTTCCAGTCCTTTTCTTATTTCGCTCCTTGTTACGTTGGATACGAGGGCGCGATACCACGGTATTATTATTTATTAATTTATTTCACGTAACATTTCTTGCATTCTTCGACGATCCTTTTTCCCTCAGGATGACGCCAGCGTGGTGGCCATTAACGGTTGGGCTACGAACGACGCCAAAGTGGTGTCAGCGGCCGTTGAAAGGTTAAGGATGGCCCGTTTCGGGAGAGACGTAGACTCGGCCAAGGGAAGGCTCTGATAATCAGCGTGACGACACGAAACGAATGATTAATTACCACAGCGCGGACCCGCTCGAATCATCCGCGATTTTATCGGCCGTAGTCGCGAGCTGGCGGCGATCCAGTCACGGCGATTGCCCATTTTACGCATTAAAATAAATCTCGATGGGTTCGGCGTCGAAACCGTTGCGTCCGCGACGATCCCCCGTGCCTTTTGTTTTTGAGCCTCCATTCACCGAGAACTCGGCGGTTCAATTTTCTCGGAGCCGCGACAAATGTCGATTCACCGATATTTCCTCTCGCAAATTGCCGACGTTGTTCCGTAAACTGGTACAGAGCCATTGTAAAATGGGAACGAATACGCGCAGGGCTGGGGGAATTGTCACCTCGTATAGTAAACAGCGAATAGTCTGTTCCATTGGAATTACTTTTGTAATATCACACGTAGAAACGAATTCTGTGCTTCAAGGTACATCCAGCATTTCTCGGATGCATTTAAAGGTTTCCAATCCCATTTGCGGTTCGTTCCGAATCTGCTGGACTCGTTAGTAAGGCTTTGCACGATCCTCCTTGAGACTTGAACTTTGTAAATCTCGTTTGAGCCGTTGTAAATTTAACAGTATTTTAGTAACGTTACCATTGCGGTCTCTGGCTCTCCGGTATACAATTACTATTTATTTAAAACGTAGAATTGCTAGCAAAAATGGGGTACCGGATTTTGAGCGAACCTGTAGTTTGGCAACGCCACGAGGGCGTCGCAGAATGCAAGAATTGAACGTTCATTCAATTTCCTTAAAACAATTCCCCCCTTCGTGCCGGTGATGCTAGAACTAACGCGCCGGAACGGGGATATTTACGTTGCCGTAGGGTTTCTTTTATTTTAATAACGACACCCCTGGACGAGCCACTAATTATAGAAGAACGATTTTTCGAACGAACATCGCCGTTAACGCGTAACACGACTGGCGAGCGTGGCATTAAAGGCGTTTCTGCAAAGGTGAGCTCGGCAAAGATGCAGCAGTTATTTTCGTTTTATTTCCGAGCTGTACGTCCTATTTGGCTCCGAGTACGTCTCTATTTCCTGTCCATCTCTTTATCGCGTCGCGAACATTTTTTCGCGATTCGTCCGAGCCCTCCGTGCTAGGGGATTAGGAAACGAAATGAATCGTTCGAAAGTGAAGTCATCTCTGAGAAGCGGAGGTGTGGGTCCTTACTTTCTCTTTTACGCGATGCTTGTTTGTATCGCGAAGACCAAGAAAATTTTATCCGCGCGTATAAAAATTCTTCTGCGTTCGTTGTAACATCCCTCGCAAAGCTCTCTAACGTGCGCTCGTCGCAAATAGCTATCTCGCATTTATGACAACGGGGTTTTGATTTATGATCTTTTTCATGGCTGTATATTTGGCAACGCTTTCGTTTGGTACACTTTCCTGCCAGGTATGACTGTTCCGCGTTTGCTATAAAACTATTATATAAGAAAACAAACTCTATTCTTTCGTCTTAGTTCGGACGAATTAGTCGCAGCAGTGAGTTTCCCGAAGTCTCGCGGATATCCCATTGTCTCGTTACTTTACAATATATATATATGTATATATGTACAATACGCTAAGCTAGGAAGACACTGGTACATCACGATGACACATGCACAGTGAGTCACTCGATACTTGTACAAAAGCTCGTGCATCAGGTGGTTTGCATTTACTAGTTATAAAGCACTATTTGTCGACTGGAGCCTCTCTGAGCCTGCCGGAGTACTGACTCCCCAATCAGTAAGCTCAATTTCAACCGAATGACTGTGTGGAACAGTCGCCACAGAATATATAAACGTACGTTTCTTTAATAAAGATTAATACTTTGTAAGTTATAATCCTAGAGAACAAACTGAGAAGGATTTTTCTTACAAAGAAAACTTTTCACTAGCCCCACACTTATGCCTTGTATGGTTCATTACGGATTAAATCTTCATTTTCTCAATAACTAAGGCCCCTAGAAGACACGTGTATATATCTTATCGACCATAAAATAGATTCCTGAAGATTCACCCAACCGTTTCGCCTTCCCCCGTCGTTCTTACAATTACCGAGGACTAAGCAAAGGCCTAAAGCGGTTCGATTTAGGCAACTACGTACGTTACGTAATAAGGCGACTAAAGAGAGAACGAAACGTTGTTTCAGGTGGGGGAAAGGCCAGCGTCATGGAACGCGTTACGAACGTGTTTTGCGGAAGCGGCGGGGTCGCCTATACGAATCTGCAGAGCGCAAACAATGCGAACGCAACCCCGGAAAAGCCGAGCAGGAGCGCGCCTATGTCGATGGGCAACATGCCGCCAACCAATAATAAGAGTCTGAGCAACAGCACGCCGAGCAGAACGAGGATATCCAGGAATCGCGCAAGGAACGCGCCCCTTGCGTGCGGCGGCACGGGCAACTACGTGGCGATGTGCACGTGGGAGCAGCTCATGCAGGACGATTACTTCCTCGACAAATTTTTCCTCTACTTCAACGCCATCGAGAGGAGGATTTTGGCTCAGGTGCCCGAACCTCGTGATATTAATCGTTCGGCTGGCCACTATCCGCCATACGCGATCGGATCCTTCCATTGTTTCGACTATTCTTAGCTCTAATTACTATCGCTCGTCGCTTCGTAGAGTTGGCGTTGCCAGATTTTCGTTTTTGCTTTCTTGAGACAACGAGCCTTCGGGTGTTGTTTAGATACGAGCACCTGGATAGAAATAAAGCATTCGATTATTATAATATAAAGTATATAAAGTTACGATACAAAGTATATAATTCTATTCTGCCACCAGGTGTGCACAAGATGGAGAGACGTACTGTACGCGCGACCTCGGCTTTGGGCAGGCCTGGTGCCCGTGGTGAGGTGTCGCGAGATGCGCGCCATGCCTCTGACGTATCGCAGCCGTCTGTACGCCTCCTTGGTCAGAAGAGGTTTCCATTCGTTGGTCCTCCTCGGTGCCGCTGACGAGGATATCCCCGAGCTCACCCACGGGTTCCCTTTGGCGCAGAGGAACATCCACTCGTTGTCCCTGAGATGCTGTGCGGTCACCGACAAAGGCCTCGAAGCTCTCTTGGATCACTTGCAAGTGCGTTGCCACGCGAGCCTTTCGTGAAACATATCAAAATAATCCTTCTAAGGAACGTTCCAATGTAGTTCTAACGTAGATATGTACCATGTCTCCCGCTTTGTTGTGCCATCTTTCAAAATGTATCTGTGTATACCGCTTCAGTCGTTCAGAAATTCTTCTGCATTGCACGTACAGCTTTCACAAGCATTCATATTAAGTCATCCCATAAAGTAACGTCGTCTCTTACATGTCGTCTCTTACATGACGTCTCTTACATGACGTCTCTGTATATTTAATATATGTTTGTTTATTGTTTTATCCGAGTACGGTAGTGAATGAATATTACTCGTTTTATCGTCAGGGTTTGTTCGAGCTCGAGTTGGCCGGTTGCAACGAGATAACGGAGGCCGGTCTGTGGACCTGCTTGACACCTAGAATAGTATCGCTCTCCTTGTCGGACTGTATCAACGTGGCTGACGAAGCCGTCGGAGCGGTCGCACAATTGTTACCCAGCCTCTACGAGTTCTCGTTGCAGGCGTACCACGTGACCGACGCAGCCCTCACTTACTTCAACCCCAGACAGAGTAGCGCCCTCAGCATTCTCAGGCTCCAGTCCTGCTGGGAGCTCACCAACCACGGTGTGCTCAATATCGGTGAGAATATAATTAAAAGCCCGGAATAATAACGCGTAACTGGGAAAAGAAACTGTCGGAAGCGGAATTCGATGAAACTGTAGCTAAGAACACGATCGCGGTAGCGGTGAGAAATATCGAATCAAGAAAACGAAACCACTCGAAGGAACGAAAGCGAATTGGATCTGTTTTAGAAAACGGGACAATTGCGTCAGCGTGTCCCGCGATGATCCAGGTAGAAATATCGTGATGACTGGTAGCGTGAAATTAAGTCAAGTGTCACATGCATCCGGCCATTATAAATTTAGAATTAAGGAACACAGCTTTATTTAACTTTCAAGCTGTCGTCGACGACGGCACCGACTCAAGTTCGCGGCTAAACGAATAGTACAGAGAACTAACCGCGCTACCTGTTCTTAGAGAAGTTGCGTCGCGCGAATTAAATACGAGAGCGAAGAAAAGATACTTTATATAAATTTACGTGTAACACCCTTGATACGTTGACAGCGGTTCGCGACAGAATTCGTTGAGAGTTGCACGAAACCTGAATTCCAAGTCTCCCACGCTCTTGCGTCGACGTTGCTTCTTCGCGCGAGGTCAAACGTTGAAATAAAACGAACCTGAAACTTCGTGTAGATAAAAAGATAATGTATGTAAAACCTTATACCGTAGCAAATCTGTGATTAGCTCGATCGAATCGGGAAGCATACAGATACAGAATTTAAAAGAGTACGGAATACACATGTTGATTTTTCTTTCTGCGTTCCAGTACATTCCTTGCCCAATTTGACCGTGTTGTCGCTGTCGGGGTGCACCAAAGTCACAGACGACGGCGTCGAGCTGATAGCGGAAAATTTGCCAAGACTTCGTTCCTTAGATCTGAGTTGGTGCTCAAGGATTTCTGATCCAGCGTTAGAATACATCGCCTGTGATTTGAATCACTTGGAGGAGCTCACGTTGGACAGGTGAGAGAGCGGATCGGGGGACGTCGGCCCGCGAACGCGGACGAGACTTAAATCGCTTTAGACGGGCACGCTCAGTCACGACGGAATCCTCGCGAGCCTTTCGATCGCTTCATTCATGTTCCAAATACTAAACACGTTAACGAGCATTCTATTTAAGATCGACCATTACGCAATGAGTGATTCACCTATCGCGTCGAGACACCTAAGGATACGAACTTGCGATCTGCTTAAAATGGCCTGTGTGAAACGAAACTGCAGCATTTTTTAAATTTTATCGAATGAAAATTACTCGGGCTACCGGTCTCGTATCTTGATCTATTTATACGTATCTTGCCGGGATACGTGAATCTTTTCATGGAAAAATACGCGATTGTTTCGAAGATACAGGCTAGAGTTATAGAATCTTCGCTACTTTGATTTACACGACTTCGGACACGTTGGAACTGTTCCGAATAGTTGGCTCGGCTATGGCTCGAGTCGTGCGTTACATTGTCTTCGAACGTCCACGCCAATCTGTCTAGGATTGAGCTGTTAACGAGACTATCATTGCGGGACAATTATCGAATACCTCGGAAGAGATGAAAAAATTGAACAAAGAAATCTGAAGTGTGGGATGGCTCGAAAAGAAAAGTTTAAAAAAAGAACAACCAAGGGAATGATATATTTGCGTAACAATTTTTTCAAGCCTATTCTTGTTTCTGCGTAGGTGTGTGCACATCACGGATATAGGCGTGGGCTATATCTCCACAATGGGATCATTGAGCGCATTGTTCTTAAGATGGTGCTCGCAACTTAAAGACTTTGGTCTTCAGCACTTGTGCGGCATGAAATCCTTACAAGTACTCTCCGTGGCAGGTAGGTTCGCTCTAAGGCTTGGCCTATATGATCGTAGATCGAAGTTTAAAGCCCTCGCTTCTTCGGGCGACAAGATTAAAGTCGGCGTGAAGGAGAAACCGGTTGAGATTTTCTAATTTTCATTCTTCGCGCTACAATTGGTTGCATCGATGGTTGGCGACGGCTATTAGACATAGCGATGTCTCACCTCGTGGACACAACTAATTCGATTGTACGATCAAATCTAACACAAGTGCTCGTGTTCACAGGTTGCCCATTGCTCACGAGTAGCGGACTGTCCAGCTTGATACAGCTTCGCCACTTACACGAATTAGAACTAACCAACTGTCCAGGAACGTCTCAGGAACTGTTCGACTATTTACGTGAACATCTGCCGCGTTGCCTAATCATCGAATAAACGATTACCTTGGGGAGAATAGAGAACAACACCGGAGAATTTTTTTTTTTTTGCGTTTCGAAGACGCTCACGTGGTCACGAAACGGCGAGGTAAAATTTGTATTCCTAAAAACAAAAACGAACAAAAAAAGAAAATGGAAAAAAAAAAGAAGAGGGAGAAAACGTTTCACGTAAAGCAATACTTAGAATGACAATGGTATATACGACACGACTGAAATGATGCCTCATACAGATAGGGAGAAGCAATTGACGTCCAGACGCAAACTAAATCACTATGGTTTTACTTGTAACATTCTATAAGAATGGAGGAAAAACGAGCGAGAGAGAGAGAGAGAGAGAGAGAGAGAGAGAGAGAGAGAGAGAGACCACTAGCCCCCCTAATCGTGCAAAGTAACATTGACTACATAGCGCATAGGCATTTTTAATACACCAGAGCTCCCGTACGAATCGCACTCCTTTCTATCCATGCTACACTTTCAATGAGATCGGTGTGCTCGCGTTCCGAGAACGTGGCCCCCTCGGCCGTTGCGTTTTTATTTCTTTTTCGAATGTTTGGAAAACGATAAAAAAAAATACATATATATATATATATACACGAAAAGAAAAAAAAACAGTATACGCCATTTGGTAACGGTTCTCAAAGTTTCATGCGTCGCTTGATGATAGGGAAAACGAAGAGACAATTAACCTTGTAGGTTCTCCGCTAAAGAACGTAGAAATGTCCGAGTGACGACACGACAGACTCAAACAGTTAGAACTGTGATAAATTTTTATTGTACATGTATTATTTTACTTTGAATATGTTTAGGCATTGTTCATCCCGCTTTAAGACCGTTCAAGAATCACGATTACGACGCATTTAGACGCGTTGCTTATATTAAAAAAAAAAAAAAAACATAAACATATGCGTGCTACCTAGAAAGTGACTACTCAAGAATGAAAAGTATAAAAGAGCTAAAAACATTCCGATGCGTCTTAACGATTTCTTTTTTTTTTTTTTTTTTTTTAACGGAGCATACTATTTGCGTCATTTGTTCGTCGATACATCGACGTTACTCAAATATCAAAAGAGAAAAAAAATATGAAAGAAATTGTAAGATCATTGCACATATATGTATTGTCTAGAAATGTTTTTGACTATATTTTATCTACGTATATTCCGCTGTCACGTAATTAATGTTTCCTAAATTTAAGGCTTACCACCTAGCTAAGTTCTCCAATGTTTTTCATTGAATGTAACGATATATCGCAATATAGAAAACGTATTTTATGTGTTTAATACTGTTAACGATTTCGACGGTTATTTAAAAAAAAAAAAAAAAAAAAAAAAAAAAAAAAACGAATGTGTCACACTATGCTCCATCAGCACGTACGATATGAAAAAGTTCTATGGCACCGTTGCGGTACGAACGACTGGTGCAACATCTTTTATGTTGAGACTCGTACTACCGAACGATTTATGTGTAACATTTAACACGACCTCGACCTTTACCGAACTGAAATTATTTTTGCGTGTTACCACATGTTTAGCACATAACGTCTTTGTATATATTGTACAAATAATAATTAATAATTCTGTTACCAATGCGAACTAAATATAAATATATCCGCACAGTCAAAATTCTATCTGAAATCGAGTCGCGGGTGACGCGAGTCACGGATGTAACTTTAAAACGTGATAAAATGATGGAATGTGCTGTGAAATAAAAATTTATTGATCCAAATTTATTTCTGTACTCTTAGGTATTTTCCCACCACGTAAGTAACCCAAGACCTGGTTCGTCGATGGCACCCTATGCAGAATTAAAATTGTAATAATAGAATTATTTTAACCTATACAAAATTTATATACCGTAATCGACATTGAGTATCTGGTACATACCCCTAAGGTATAAGGAGATATATTTTTAGCATCGGATTGCTCGACAGACTCCCCAGACACATTTGGTCCTGTAGGCAATGCTTCTGTGAAAGTTTCGCTCACTACCCTGAATCGTATAATTTCTCCTAAAGTTTTTTTTTTAACTATTATTACCCTACTTCTTATACTTAATATCTCTACACGTTAAAACAATGTACTACTTTCATAAAATATGTAAGATACCTGCATCCATAAATAGGTCATGCTTCTCACCATCCCCTGTATCGTACTCCCAAACCCATGCTTGTTCCATTTGATCAAACCTAGATGGATGCTGTAACTTGTTAGGTGGAATTACGATATCCTCGAAAAATCCTAACGTTACTGTAAATAAATTTATGCTGTTAGCTATACTGTAAAATACAACAAGAATTACAATGTTATATTGAAATGTAATTACCATGGACACCGTCGACGCTACAGCTTCGTATTTTTCCAATTAAAATTTCTTCCATAAACGGACGAAACACGATAAATTGAAATATTACTTTAGTGTGCGACGCTCCATCGCCAGGAAATATGTAAGATTCCTCAATTTTTGTGATGTCGTGGAGAGCGATGCAAAGTCCTACGTTCAGATACACCTTAAACGCAAATTAAACGATGTCAAGTATTTATAGTAACGAAATTATGTCGACAAATTTAAATCGAATTACAATGTTTCACCTTATTGGCGAGTTTCCTGTTAAGTTCATCGGTAATCGCATCGTTCAATTTCCGTTTGAATTCCCACGGCGGAATTCTGACCGTATCTTTCAATTCCGCGAGAACAAACATTTTGGCGATATAACCTCGTAGACCGATTCTATTTGTACGTCTACTATAACAAATATTTGTTGTCCTGATTCACTGTGGCGACATTTACCCTTTTTCTTTGGATAAAAACATGAAATTGTAATTTTCTTCGTCAGTTTTACCTTTCTTAAGAAACACGAACCTCCATGCCATAATCAAGGAAGAAAATCACAATTATGTCAACATAACCTCAAATGCACGTGCTTTAAGATATTGTCTCAAACGAAAAGTAGCGATAGATTTCACGGATGCTATTTTTGTGTTTCGTTTACATACATTTCAGATAAAGTATGTAGAGAAAATCATAAATTAAAGATTAAACTGGTAAGACAATCAAGTGACGATTGTTTGAGAGATTATTTGTTATTTACAGGTGAACGAGTACTTGACAGGATGGATCTCGTGAATTCAATTTTGGAAAATGAACCACGAGAGAAGGATCCACGTAAAACAACATTAGTGCACAAAGATGTGGAACTTGAGACGGATGTAGGATCTCTCTTGGCATTTGATTACAATACATTGAACATAAAAGAACTGAAGTAACCTAAAACTCTTATTATAATGTGATATCGTTTATCTCGATTAGAACTCTTTTATTTTAATTATTACGTTATACTTTGTAGATCTCAACCGGAACAACATTTAAAGAATTTAACTAGGGACAATGTGCAAATATTGATCAATAAAATCTGGGAACTTCCAACAGAACGTATCGACGAAGTGATAGTGGCAAAGCTACCAAAACCTGAATACGTATTACCTCGATCTCGTGAAATTCCAAAACCGAAACCTTTAACTAAATGGCAACAGTTTGCTAAGCAGAAGGGTATCACTTCTAATAAGAAAAATAAATCTAAACTTAAGTGGGATGATGAATTGAAAGTTAGTCCTCTATTACTGCTAAACTGTATTTTTTCTATGCACTTTGTTATCATAATTTGACGTTCTTTTAGAAATGGATACCCAAGTTTGGTTACAAACGTAGTAAAGCAGAGGAACAGAAGGAATGGTTAGTAGAAGTTAACAATGAAAATAAGGCCATGGAAGATTCGTTTACAGTCGCGAAAGCAGCAAAACAAGAAAGACGGTCTAAAAATGAACTACAGAGGCTGCGTAATATCGCGAAAGCAAAAAATATTAAGGTTCCTCAGGTAGGTCTCCCTACCAGAGAACATTTCCCAGATTCACAGCAACTTTCTCAAGCTATTACCGTTGCACGTACATCAACAGCATCTGTAGGCAAATTCCAGAACAGGTTTGTTTATTAAAACACTACTTACGAAGCGCATTGCAAGTGTGTCTAACGTACGATACTCGTAGGTTACCGAAAGAGAAAGATGCGAAAGGTATCGCGAAACAAGTGCCAGGCATGAAAAGAAAGGCCGAATATATTCCGTCAAATGTGCAAGACGAGAAAAGACGCAATAAAGATTTAGCGGACAACATTCTCAAAAGTAACACTAAAATTCTTCGCGAGGACTTTGCTGTACCAAAGTAAGTTTTCAACCTTTTCAATAGTTCGTCTTTCGAGTTGATCTTCGAATACGAAAATTTTCATTTACAGAGTAAAACCGGCCAAGTCGCAGAAATCGCAAAAGTCGCAGAAAGGGAAAAAAGGAGTGAAGAGTAGGGGAAGTAAGAAACCAAAAGCAGGAAAAGGAAATCGGGATATGCGCCTTAAAGTTGGTGGCAGAAAACGAAGATAAAACTTAACCGTTCATATTTGTAATTCGTCCATGATACCTTAATCTAGATAAGTTTTGATAATCACGAGTTATCAATCTCTACGAAACTTAAATGTATCGAGTTAGGATTGCGGACATTGAAAAGGAAGACATTGTTGAAATAAATAAAATCGCCAGAAGAGTGCGTTGATTAATCTAAACGAGTAGTTTCCAAGCTTTTCGATCAACATTCCTTTAAAAAAAAGAAGTTGTGTTTATATTAATTAATTCAAAATTAAGTAACTCTTACGATATCGATCGATAGAAGTTTCTGTTCGACGAATATATAGTACATTATTTGGAGAAGACCTGTGATATAAGATAAAGGACTGCTACAAGTGTTGGATATCTTTTCCTATTGATAGACAGAAGTTTAACTTGTATACATTTTTTATTGTAGAATCGTAGTTTACGAATGTAATTGGGACTCTGTCGCGTGGATAAAACGTGCAAACGAATCGCAGGGGCAGCATAGCAAGTCGATAAGGCAGGTTGTCCTCTGGCTACAGAATCAGGGTAACGGGAGAAAGGTGAAAGGTCAAAAGCAGCACGGGATATCGACTCGGGGAAGTCGAGAGGGCGAGGTAACCTGGCCGCGGGTACGAGGGAGGGCAAGTGCGAAAGCGGGTTGCCCTAGAATCTGTAAGGGGTTCCACCCCGCGTGTGATTTTATACGTATCGTATATGTGTAGACGTTCAATGCCATCTGAACAAAATACAAACGCATCGGGGACACCTAGCACGATCCATGGCGATTACAATGACGAACGGCTCAGACTTTATATACATTTTAATTGTCGTACGCGAAGAGGGGTCTCTTACACCCAAACCCTCGTCTATAAAGAAAAAACAGCTACGTAATAATTGCTATCAATCTAAATATTTGAATAAAGAAAACTTTAATTTGTCTCACTTGAATCGATATAATCGTATAAATCGTATAAATTGCTAGTTCCGTCAGAGCACACATAGCGGTGTGTTTATCGTTGTGCTTTTTCTAATAGGAAATTTTTAATAGGTTATCTGTTACGATCTCTCGACGTATCTACCGATCGCGACTAATTTTGACGTTCATGAATATTATCGGATAAGTAATAATACCGTATTGTCGAGGGTGGAATAAGGACAGAGAGCGGGAGAGGCAACGCCACACACTGCATGTAACATTTCGGATCGCAAGTGCATTATCCTACTTACGTGTCCTATTTGACCATCAAACTGTTAAGAGCTTCGATATATGATATAGTTCGCGGACTAATCTAGAAAATAATCTTTGGATGCGGAACGTACGAATAAATGTAAACGGCTATGTCCATTCAATCTGGGCTTCTCGGGGCCTGAAGCTAATTACTCTGAGAAGCTCTTCTCTAATCATTTATGTTTCTAACCATTGACCATTAATTCGGTATTGGAATGTTTTCGAGTAAGCGTGAATCCTTAAAATGACTTTCTTTTACAACGATAGTTTGGGGCCCATGACAAGTTAGGTTATGCGACATCAGTACTTTGTTAGTACTTTGCTAACAGTTTACGCGGGAAAGAGTTCGATAACGGAATCGATCGTGGATCGATACGTGACCGTAAAAATATTTGCATAGCCAGGGCAACGATAGCGTAGCACGATACATTTTGTTACTCGGAGGAACAAATTGGCAAAGACTCCCTTTCTCGTACAAAATATCTTTTATCACAAAACTGATCGACGCGGATCGATTTTTTGATATGCTTCAGCCTGGAAACGAACTGGAACGAGTGTCGATTGTGCGTGACTGATTGCAGTTCGAAATACTGTAATATCGAACGCCTTGCATCTCCATGCAGACAGTGAAATAGACACCTGAGAAAAATTTACGTTACAGGTTACCAGAAAAAATGGTAATTTATGTTTTCTCGAATCGTTCAAATTCTTGACACGATATACGAAGTGTCTTACAGTGTTACGCTACGCGGATGGGAATTCCGGTAAAAATCAAGATGGACTTGAAGGTTAACCTACTCCTTAAATATTGATTTTTGTAGACAGGAAATTCTTCTGAATTTCTCTTTTAGACGTTGAGCTATATCAACGATGACTTTCATAATCTGTAATCATTGTTCTTACTGTGCCTGGTCTGATCGAAAGTAGTGGTGACAATTAAGAGATTTACAAAATGGAGGTGGTTGTCTGAATCAAGGGGCCCGATTGAAAGTAGTAACGGCCGACATTACACGTACGTGGTTGCCTACACTAAGGGGCCCGATTGAAAGTAGTAATGACCAACATTACGCGGACGTTGTTGCCTATACTAAAGGAAATTTTTTTTTTTTATTCCAACATAGACACTTATTATTAGATTATTACTATTAAAGCAGTATTACTCATTACTATTCATACATTGCAGGAGCAGCTCTTCTACGTGGTAGAACCATAAATATCGAAGGTGGGCAGAACTATTGCCTAGATAGAGATCTCGAGTAACGAATAAACAATCAACTGTGTATTCGTTGTACAATGAACTATTTCAAGATGGACATTGGATTTTAAAATTATACTAGGGCACGGGGTAATTTATTTATGCCTAAATTGCTTCTCAATTCATATTCGTTAATTTACCTTACTTTTCAGTTCGCCAAGGCGGTGTAATCCCTGAAGATAGTTTGACTAGGCGAGGGGGACTGTATTAATACGCTGATATATGGGTGACAGGGATTATTCCCTAAGGAGTTAGAAAATTATAAAGGTCAGCGGTCTTCGGACCTTCGACGTAACAGAGATTCGGTAGTCTCCGCACGCCTCAGGGCTCTATACACATCGTCGCTGGTAATCCCTGGAGAGTGGTGCTTTTGGCACACGCTGTACGTAATCGAGCGACGCAGCGCGCGTGCGAGGGTGCAGGGGAAGGGTGGTTGCCGAGCTAGAGGACAGAGGTAACCGCCGCGCGGTGCTCAGTCGGTGGTTGCTCGGGGAGAAACGGGCGCGTCCACGAAGTGCCGGGGATAACGATGGAGGCTGCGTTAATCGCACCGAGCGAGTGATACGCGCCGCGCGTTACACGGGGGGAATCGTGTCCTGGATTCGTGGCCCGCGGTTGTCCCCTTCGCGGCCACCCCTCCCCCGCCGGACACCAGAGTGCGTGTGGCATCCTCTCCGTTGCCAACCGTGTGCGTGAGTGTAAACCCGATCCGACGGTGGTGGCCGTCTCCTGCAACTTCCGTTACAGAAGAGGAAAATAATAGAAGAGCGAGACACAGCGGGGGGGGAAAGGGATAACGACGAACGATAGAAAACTGTGCGACGTAGGGACGAAAGAAAAAGAAAAAAAAAAGGCGCAACGAAACGGGGAAAAATGTCGTCCACGTAGTCGAGGCGAGAGGATCGGAGAGAGGCAGGTCGAACACGGTGCAGTGGTTACTCCGAGTCGTTGGTACGCGCAGCCTTTTGGTGTTGCTGGCTGACTTGATGCCTGCTTTGCTATTGCTGTCGCTGCCGCCGCCGTCGAATCGCCGCCGACGTTGCTGCAGCAGTTTCTAGCGATTTGAAATGAAAAAAAAAAAAAATAATAACGATAACGATATATAATGGAATATGTGTTGTCGAAATAGGAAGGGAGGGCGAGGGAAAGCAAAGGGATATCCGTGTAGCCTTCGTTGTTTCGTCGTCGTCCTCGTCGTTGTTAATTTTTTTTTTTTTTTTTTTTTTACAAACCATTGCTCCCAGGCGTAAACGCAAACAGAAAGAGAAAACACAGAGAGGGAAAATATTGTATATGTGACGTGCCCGCCGGCCACCAGCCAGCCTTTTATTCTTTTTTTTACGCGCTTCATTTCGCTCTTTTTCGGACCTCTTTGGGCCTGCCCCTCGGTAGGCAGAGTCATGCTCATCGTGGGTCCTGTGTCCGGTCCTTCAACCTATTTTTATTTTCGCCGTCTATGGGACTTCACGTTATCTGGCTTCTTCTGTACCCTTTTTTTTTTCAACCCGTTTCGTGCACGCACGTATCATTGCATGAGCGCATTGTGTGCAGTCGGCAGGAAGAGACGTAGCGACGTCTAGTATGCCCTCTGGGTTAAATTTTGATATGCTCGTGGGTCGAGGCAGAGATGGGACCAGAAGTAATAACGTTATATTTTGCATCGAATGATCGGAAGCTTGTCCGAATAGTAAATTCAAAACTATGATAGTTTAACATCGACCAAGTTTTAAATCTCAGTTTCAAGTTATCTATTATACTCGAACATAATTGTCCACACCTTTGAATCCGCGAAAATATTTCTCTTCGCACATTTACCGTTACTTGGAGTTTATCGAACACTGTTGATTACCAAATTTCGTCATCCATGACTATATGTACACCGCTAGCGAACCTTATCGGCGTCCACCCACATGCTATCGTTTTCACGGTTTGTTTAATTTACGAGTACGCTATATTCTCTTCCGTCGACTTTACATTTGACTGTTGGCCCTGATTCGTGGACGTACCACGGAAAACAATCTCCGTACGCTTGCTTCTTTACACGAGTTAGTTTTCCCAATTTTCATTTCGCAGTGGACGATATAAAAATGTAGACAACGAATGGGATACTGCCACGGCATAATTAATTTAACGCCGTAATCAATATTACTTCGTATCAGAGAGGAGAAACGTTTTATTCGAGTAATAGATAATCGGTACAACCAACGTATAAACGTTTATTCGATAGAGCCGTTAAATCTATATTTAATACGGAAACCTTTTGGTAATCGGTAAGTCGGTTTCGGAAGGTCGGAGAACAAATTTCAACCAAAGTCAAACTATTTTAATACAATGACCTTTATCCTCTTCTGCTCGATCGATAACATGTAAGATTAATTGCGATTTACTTCGAGTTTGGTAAATGTTTACTTGCTTGGAAAAAAAGAAACTTAAAAAAAAAAGAAAACAGATAGAAGAACGTGAATAGGTTATGTTGAAGTAGGTTGACTTCATTTTTCGATTTCAAAAAGAAATCCGGTTGTCGGATTTTCATAATTTCGATTTTGCCCACCCTTTGGACTTTTCGTACGCGATTTGTTTACGTTTCCCGTCTACTCTTCTACAAGTACTGACCACTTACAACAAAAATGATAGACAAGGGTCAGGGAGGAGAATAGAGGTTAGAGTGACGTGGTGAAGTGGGAGGGCGAGGTGGAGGCTCGAAGGTGACAGAGATAGATAGCGGAAGGGAACTGAAAACGAACGTGATAAAGTGGGGGAAAGGAGAAGAGGGATGAGACGAAGAAAAGGAACGAGACAGGGGGTGGTGGGAGGGTAGGGATAACTGGAACGTGTCGCAGCAAAAAACGAAGAGGGAGAAGAGGGTTTTTCGATTTGTTACATTTGTGTCGGAACCACTTGACCCATTGACGGGTCAAGGGGCAGAATGGAAAGGTGTCAATGCAGAGGTCTCTTCGTGATATACAACATGATCAATTTTTGAAGAAAAAGAATAAAACGTCACGTACATGATAGTCGTGCAATTTATAAATACCAATAGTTATTTTTCAACAATTTATCGATATAAATATATAAGTATACGTATTTGTTACTCCTTTAAACGAACATTGCACGTTCACTTGTATTCGAGAGTTACGCCGAAAGTATAGAGGATAACGGTATGAATTATTTTTAGTTTCATGTTTTTGTTTTTTTATTCATGTAAGTAGCGAAAACTCCCATCTTTCGCTTCCTGTCTATCTGTAAATTCTCGATGTATATACAGGCGCTCGTAGATATTTCCCTTCGCTAATTAGACATAAATATAACGTGTAATTACTGATACCTCACGTTTTCCAACTAACTTGTACTTGTTCGCTGTATTAAATATTTGAACGAGAGTGCTTTTCATTTCTTAGAAGAGAATTTGTTCGATTTGTTGGAAACGATTTGTTCGTTATATAAACACTTCTTTCATAGTATTTATCTCTCCAATCTGTCTTTCACATCGAAAATTAGACAGATTGTCGAGCTACGTTAAAGAGTATTAGTCGTAGTATCCTTGTATGTACGCATCGCTGCTACTTGTTTGGTATTCGTATGTAAATATATCGCTGTAAATAAAAGGCTTTTCAATGTGCTTTCTCGCTAAAGAATTTAGTTAGCTGGTAGCGTTAGAATGACGGCCGCCGATAGCGGGCGGATATCCGTCACGTTTCTTGCGTTTCCAGAGGAAAAAAAGACAGGAAGACGATGCAAAGGGTGCTAAGCTCGTAACAGAAAGCAAACGCCTGGCCCGAAGGCGTTAAACTGGGAAGAAGCGGTTGTAATCGGGTCGCGGAGCGATGTACGCAGCTGCGGGTGGCGCCAGTATAGCGAACAGGAGGAAGCAGAAACGGTTACAGCTGAACAAACGCGTCGGCGAGGGCACGGTCCCGTCACGGCTGAAGACAGTACCCGCTTCTCAGCACCACTTCCACCAACACCACCACCCGAGCAAATTCGCGCGTCCGCACGTTCTTCCACCATCTTCCACACCACAGCCACACCAACCACCGTCATCTGCATTCTATCCGAGCATCGACAGACGGCGTCATGTCGAGAAGTGTCAGCAAGTCGCACCCGTCTCTCCAATCCAGTTCCCGATATCGCCGCCGCCACTTTCCCTCGAATCACCAAGTTCGGTCACCTGCGCCACCAAATCCAATAATTTCCCTTTTCCGCCACCGTCGATCCTCGATCTCCGAGTTCCGCCATCTTCTTCGGAGCTACAGGTGGGTAGATTGTTTACGGCAGTAACACTTTCTTAATTGCTCCCTAGGGTCAGTTTCATTGTCTATCTAATATTTACATAGTTCCGTTTACTACTTCTTCTTCTTTCTCTATCACGTTAGTTGCTCTTGCTAGGTTCTCTTTTAACCCTTGATCATGTACTATCTCGCAGTCCTTTGTACAAGTTTTATTCGATAATCCTCGTTGCACTCTGCACCTTCTCTCTTGCTGGCACACCTTTTACTTACATTAGGAACACACCATCGATCGGCTGTCTGGTGGCATATGTAAACCCGTGGTAACACACATCCTTGAACAGCCCCCAGGTTCGTCAGCTGGTTATCCATAAATTGTTAATTTTTGTTTAGTCGTTAATATGTACTCTACTGGTTCCTACCAGCGGATACCATGCGTCGACTAATGGCAGGGAGGCAGACAGTGCAATGTTAGGAGTAAGTTGTAGTGCCTGGTACTGAGCCGGATTGGGAGATCATCGAAGGAGGAACTTGTGCGGTCCCTTGATTTTTTTCTTAAGACCGAGAAGGAAAAACCAAAAGATTTCAGTTGTAACGTGCATAAAGAAAGTGGAAAGGAGAAAGGGGAGGCGGAGAAGGACGGTCGGGATCTTAACGATCTATAAAACAGGCAAATGAATGAGCGGAATGCAGGCTGCTTTATTAATTAGAAGGGAGAAGCAACGGTTACGGGGGGGTAAGGTGGTGAACTTTAGAGAATTACCCTCCAACTTGGCAACCAGACTTATTCCGCCGCTTCCACGATATCCCCCACGATCTTACGTTTACGGGGTAAGTATCAAACCATTCCAATGTCCTGTATCATCGACGATAAGCTATTGGCGTCAGTGGGTAACCATTATTCTTCCCTAGCTGATTACCTTTTGCATCAGCCTTGTGTGCCTTTTGGTTCGAGAAAAGAAATTCATAACGTAGTGTATTTTTGGTGTTTGTCCATTTTTTACTTTACTTTATTACAAAAAATATCAATGTCTTTTATATTACTGTGCATCAACTTTGTCTCGTATTCTAAAAATTATATTCCAATTTCTTATTCATAGAACTCTTATTTGTTATGTCTTTACATAGCATTTATATCAATCCTCTAACAAAAGATGAATTACCAAACTAGAAAAAATTATTCAGAAAGGTAGCAAATGATTTTTCATTTTAGAAGTGCACTTTAATCTTACATAAGTTACATAAACTAAATTCAAGGTGTGTAATAATAAACTTGAGGTTGAGTTATATCATGATATATGGTGGATTGTAACTTTTATGTGTGCTATACAGTACTTGATGCTCGAAGGTAATGATTACAGTGTACTTATGTAAACAAATTCTACGATACATGTACGTATGAACGTTTATACATGTTTCGATGATTACATGTATACAAGTTTTTCTGTGTTCTATTTTAGTATATGCATGCACATTTTTTATATTATCGTTTATGTGCCAAGTAACGAGGACAGAAAACATTAAAATGAAGCGTGTATAACGATATAGTATTATAGAAAATGTTTCAAATGATAGAGAAAGATGCAAATATTATATATATAATCAAATATCAACTCCTTTTTTATGTTTCATTGTTTATTTAGAAATATTTTATACAACAGTTAGAATAGTAAAACGAAGAAGGAACACTGAAAAGCATCTAATGTTTGTAGATTGTTTAAAATTTTATCTGTGAAGATATACCATTAAAATCCTTTGGTAGGATTAAAACGTTAAACAACCAACCTCATAGTTGTCGTAAGCGTTTGTAATGGTAATAACTCGGTGTGAAATAATTTCAGTGTGGTGGAGGACCCGGCAAAGCAGCATGGCAAGGATGCAGCAGACCTCCTCTTCCTCTGTCCCCTACATCGCCTCACGGATGCCGCGGAGATGGCTACAAGACGAAGCAATGCGAAGCTCATCGGCGATGGATGAAAAAGAACAAGGTAAACAAGCGCTACGCTAACCAAAATTATATAAACTTGATATGAACCGTGGACACAGAGTCCCCACGAGTGATAATCTTCATTCGAAACGAGTACGAAATATGGCATGCAGCGCAGTGATTGTTTTTAGATAAGAGACGCGAGCTATTGCAATGGAAGCAGCGGAGAAGATGATGAAGAAGACGAAAGCAGTAACGCAAACCGTCATAGAGGAGAAGTTAGCGCGGCAGTGAATACCGTACTTTACGCGGGGCTGGGAACTACAGCGCTCGGATTAGTTATCTCGTTTGTCGGCACTGGAGAGAAAGGATTCCTCAGTCCGGAATTGAGGCTGGTGGGTCCTTCGCTACTGTGCGCCGGTTTACTGTGTTGCCTATTTCGGGTGCTGCTCTGCCTCTGTTTATGTCGTTGCGGTCAATGCCGTTGGCGGTTTTGCCACGTTGCTTCCGACAAGAAGGAGAAAGTGAGGAAAACGGAAGCGCGTCCAACAGGAACGTTGCCTACCGCCTCACTTTTGTCGCCAGCGCAACAACAACAGCAACAACACCAATCGGCCGCCACGTCCTCGAGCGGGCCAGCATCATCGTCGACGAAAGCACACGAGCTCTTGCTCTCTCCTGCCCAATTAGCAGAGTGAAAACACCATTACGAACGTTTTCTACGAAAAATCAACACGCCGATTAACTGCCGGTTCTTGTCCAATAATAGAATATCTAATTTCCATTCGACCTGAACCGTTTTTCGCAACAACCAACACAGCCTAACTCTAGTTCAATTCGAATTTTAGCGCTTTAAAAAAAAAAAAAAAGAAAAAAAAACAATAGAGAACGAAACAATCGGCCACGTTTTTCTACCCCTACCGTGTTTGAAAAAGTAAAAAAATAATTATCAATGAGCCTTCAACTGCCTCCTGGTTTATTTCCTTCCACGTTTTTCATATTTTCTTTACAAGGAGTTGCCTAAGCTTAATTTACCTCTCTCATAGAGATATCAGAACATTCTCCACTTTATTCTCGTCGTTGTAAGATCAGTTTTTCTTTTTCTTTTTCTTTTTTTTTTTACAAAACGTAATCACGCGTGAAAATGATACACGACAGTCAAGGTAACTGTTCCGTGAACCGCGTTTCACGTCGAATAATTTATATCGACATCACTCGAAACTGCACCGATCAGGAAAGTTGGAATTGCATTTGATCAGCGGACGTGTAACTGTATATAACAGGTGTGTCAGAGGTGGTAGCACTGGACGCAGTTGCAGCGATAGCGAACAGTTGATCCTCGTACATAGTTCCTTGCGGTTCAACTTTTCCGTTGCCCGATGGCGTACCACTACCCGGTGGATTATCGCCTTTCGTCGATTCCCGATACTTTTGCAGATATACTTTCAATGGTTCCACGTAATTATCGAAACCGAGGGTGGTCATCGCGAACAGAATGTCTTCGCCGTTAATGGTTTTACGTTTCTCCATGTGACACCGGTCGCTCGCTTCGGACGTGATGAACGATATGAACTCGGACACGCACTCTTGAACACACTCGCGTGCATCTTTGGCTATCTTTCCCGTTTCCGGTATAGCCCTTTTCATTATTTTCGCAACGTTTGCTATCGGAAGAAATCGATCTTGCTCGCGTAGAGGACCTCCTCCGCCACTACCTCCGGTTCCTTGCAACGGATCGTTTGCCCCGTGATTGGAATCATCCGTATTTTCAGGATCATCTGGACAAAAGTATTAGCTTCAATCGGTGCAACGGCTTGTCAAATTGTACGAAAGCATTATAAAATCAATGTTTAACCACTCGTATTCCATGCTAAACCTGGAAACAAAAAGACACGCGTCCCGTGTGACTTGTCCTTTTCGGTATGCAATAAAATTTAGAGATTTGCAACGGCTAGATGTTCTTCAACTTTTGTTTTTATTAATGGTAACACTTTAAAAAATGTATGGATGGATCGGTTACAAATAGCCACCAATTATATTTGAACTTTGTCTATTACAGTTTTCAAACTGCTTTGATATGTATATAATTTTATAACGAAATAGTTGTCAACATTTGATATATAGATTAAATAACATGGAAACTTTCTTTTATCGAGTACCAATCGGAGTACCTAGATTATATCATTATTCGTCAACTTGTTTGTATTAATATGATGTAACAGTGAAATTGAAAACCGCCGCTAATTGCAAGCTTCGTAAATTAGGATTCGTTTCCCATTGAGGAGGTGATTGTAATTTTGAATGTTCGCAGTGAAACAAAATTCAAAACATTCTTAACCTACCTTCCATATCGTCCGATTGTACTCCGATATAAGACGCGGAAACACCGCCGCTGAGGAATGCATTCGGGCCCAAAGGTCCTCCGTCATCGCCGCTTTCGCCACTATTTTCCATTTTCAACTCGACTTACACTAAACGCACAACAAGTCGAACACTTCGAGTTTTCTTAACCTGTCCGTGGCTTTGTTTTCACGGTACTTTATTGCACTTTTTTCGGCATGAACAACTTCGTAAATAGACCTTTCGAATAGAAATCTTGTTAGGACAGCGCCCTCGCGAGAAATTTCTGAAACATCGATCTTCCTATGAATTGAAAACTCGCTTTAAAGATTTGAATAGCGCCATCCTGCGTTCGAAACGCGCAATAATACGAGCAAAGAAGAAAGGGATCATTTTGCGAGTCGTATTCCCCTCGAACGGCAAGAATTAAGGGACGCGTGTGTACACAAAAACATTTGGTGCGTTTAGTTTGTGCGAAAGTTATGGACGAGAATGGACGATCGTGAAGCGGTGGGCCACGGTGGAGTGCGATGAGAATTGTCGAATCCGTGAAAAAAATTTGTATTCGCGAGAGAACAGGGTAAGGAATAGATGGCGTACTATCCTCTCTGGGATTCGGAGCCAATTTGAAGTACGACACTCGAATATGATCGGTCAGACGTCGGAGGAGCTGATCACCCCTGCGACTCCTTCTGCAGAGAAAAACTCGAAGGGAGATTCGAAGCAACGGAAATCGAGCGCGAGAGGATTCAATTTTCCTTGGAGACGCAATTCGCAACACGAGAACGCGCCAGAGAACGACAAAAAGAAAGAAGATTTGGTAGACGTCAGAGTCGTCGAGTGCAATGCCAACAATGTTCTTCCCAGCAAAATGTCTTTCAACTTCTTCAAGAATATCAAAAAGTACATCCAAGCCAAGAAATTAGCAATATGTAAATCAAATAAAAATGTAAGTATTCAGAGATCTTGACGATACATGGCACTTAAAAGAAATGTTTACAGGGGAACAAGGTTCAGGTGTCTAATTTGGAAAAGGATACAAGCTGTGATTCGTTGATGATTTGGTATGACAGACCTACGATTTCTACAGAAAAGGGTCATACATCTGAATTTAGATGCGAAAATACTGCCGATACTTCTGAGTGTCTAAGTAACAGCAATACTTCGATTGCCAGTGAAGAGTCTTTGCAAAATGAAGTATTACTAGAGAATCTAGATAAAACGTTAGAATATTGCTCAGATGTTGCACAAAGATTAGAAGCGGTTGATGCGCGTGCTATTAATGAGTGCCGAACAGACAATTATTATGAAAATGTTCCTAGCATATGTTGGCCATTTTCCGCCAACAGTGGACAAGAATTAGTATGCGATACTACGATAGCAAATGTACTAACGGAACATCGGATTGAAAACATCCAGAGAAATGCAGAAATTAACGAGACGATAAATAACGATAACAAAGTGAAAGCGAGCCTTACCAAGGAGTTGCTTAAATTAAGCCATAACGGATGGTATTGGGGTCCGATATCGGGAAGCGAAGCTGACTCTAAACTGATATCCGAACCTGATGGTGCATTTTTAGTCAGAGACTCTTCAGACGACAGGTTTGTATACTATCAAATATATCGATAGCGGAAAATTACAATACGTGTAAAATGTTTAATAACGATTTTTATATAGATACGTCCTGACGCTTAGTTTTAAATCTTCTGGTAAGGTACTCCATGCTCGCATGGAGCATAGCGGTGGATTATTTTCTCTGTGTAACCAAAGCGAAAGCGAAGGATTCAGCTCGGTAGCCGATTTAATCGACTATTCGATGAATTTTAGCCAGTCGGGAGTGTTTTGTTATTCGAGACCAAAGTATCCTGGTCATCCAGCTTTCCCAGTCAGATTAACAAAGCCAGTAAGCAGGTTTATGCAAGTTCGAAGTTTGCAATATCTTTGCCGTTTCGTAATACGTCAGAATATGAGATTGGACAATATTCATAAATTGCCTATACCAAAAGCTATTAAAAGCTATATAGAGGAAGCACATTATTAATAAGAAATTTAAATAAACTAAAAAGAAAGTACCTTTTATAAAATACTTATACTAATGCAAATCGTACTATAAGACGAATCATGCAAATGTGAAAGTCTAGAAATTGTTCTAGTATTAAAGTATAGTCTTTGCAAAAAGATATAATTTTTTATTACAAGTAACAAATAATAAGAGCATTTTTAAAACAAATTTCTTTGAATATAAAGGTAGAGTCCATATCTTGCATGAATCATTTCATCGTAAAGTACGTTATATTTTTTAACGTAATATTAATCAATTTGTGAGGTACTTGGCTGTGTAAACATATTTTTTATTATAAAATAATTTCCTGCTCAATTGAATATTAAGGACGGAAAGCGATCTCTTGTTCAATGGAGAGATAAAATGATTTTATATAAAGAGAATACTATATTGCCTTAATTAATTGTGACAATACTGCAGGGTAATTGTTAAATACTGTTGAATTTATATTTCTAACAATTTATACCTTTATATCTTGCACGAAAATAACTCAGATTTATTGAATTCGACGGCAAGTGTACAGATCTTGTTAAAATATAATATTAAAATGAGTTAGCTGTCATTGCTAATTCAACTTAAAATTGTTGTTCTTTTTAATTCTTACCATGTCGCGCAAAGTTAAAACATGTGCATGTGGTTTCTTAAATATACTTCGAACTATGGTAAATGAATTCGAGTAAGACATTTTAATTGGTATTTCACAGTCTACAGTCTATTATTTATTTCTCTTCTAACTTAAATTTTAATTGGCTATTCCAATTTAATCCAAGTATATTGCGTGCCTGGCAAATAAATAAATACATTAGAATACCTTATATGTGTATATGAATGTAGACGTTTAATTTAAAATTTACCGTAACAAAAGCGGCATTAGCCGCTTCAGTGGCACGACTCAAAGCTTGATCTGGCAAGGCCATATCAGTGGTTGTTGTAAGAATTGCATGAATCTGTGTTGCATCCTTTATTCGATTTTCCAAGAACTTCCAGGTATGTTTATGATCCTCGCTATTGTCTTGTAGCATATATAATTCTGTAGTTTTGTAGATACCTGCTAATACTACTCTTCTAGTATACCAGTTGATCTGATTAAAAAGATTTTGGTTACATTACTATATATACATAAAAAAACAACAGTTTTATACGAATATATTCGTGACCCTTACATCAACTGATCTATCTCCAGCATAATAACAAATGTCATCTACTAAAGTAAGCAAGTTAGCTAACGACATTGGTACATTAGGTGGAAGTGTCATAAGGGCTAACGCTTGAGGCCATGTCTTTTTGTATGGGATCACCATTCTGAGTCTTGTCTCTACAGCATCGCGTATTTGTGACTCGAATGTCTTTTTTTCTTTAGGACTTTCTTGATTAGTAAGAGCTCGTTCCTTGAGCATTGTATTCAACTCGCTATTACACGTCGAGTAAAAGTGTTGAACTAAATCTGCTCCTCGATTGGGAAATAATCCGTGAATCACACCAGGGTATCCGATAGATTCTGCACCTTTGGTATATAACTTTTCATTAAATATATTTATTTGCGACCTGAATTGTATACTAGAATCATGAAATTATTGGTATTTAATTAATGTTGAACATGCATTAAATTTTCGTCATTTTCTAAAAATCACTGGGCTCGTTTACTTAACTGAAAAATGATTACAAATTACCAGCACTGATGGCTTGGTGGCTCCATCCTAGATCGTGAACGAACTCTAAAGACGCGCTAAGAATTTTTGATTTGATATTTTTCTCGTAATCTTCATCGCTTTCCTTACTCTGTTCCTGATTCGATTGCTGTGCAGTAGCATTTTCGGTTTGATCTACGAGCAATGCCCTACAAGTCCATAAACATCTAAAACCTATCAAAATCAAAGTGTACTTTGAAATTCGTTTATTGTGTAGCAGAAAACGATAAAAATGTTAATTAATACGAGATAGCAAATAGTGGGATTCAAAAAAAAAAAAAAAAATAAACTGCACATGAGGAATAATTTTATTTAACAATAAGTAATATACACTTTATAAATACACAAGTGTTATTTCGAAGTTACAATGTTATCGTTATGTTCTTTAAAAAGATTATTAGAAATGCATTCGTTAACTCTAATTAAAATACTTTCCATCACATCGAGACCGTTTAGCGCGTGATAACAAAACGTTATTTTTTGTGAAATCGGCATCGCCGGTAACTCTTTTCCACCCACAGTTAATCTTACTTCAGCTTCATTCTTTTCTGGTATTATATTATCGCTCGTTTTGAGAGCTTTCTTTTGTTCTTCTAAATCCTTCATCTTTACTTTCCAATGAGCTCTGCACAAACTTATTCCCTCTCTTAAAGGTTTCAAATATTCATTTTCGAGTTTATCTACTAGATTCCAAATTCCTGTTTGATTGTTAACATCTCTGAGGAATAGAAATCTTAAAAGATTCAAGCTGGTAATTATTTCATCGGATAATTCTACCATATCCGATGCGCTGCCGTGTGGTAACTTGCAGACAAATTTCAACAAACATTCTAAATTGTTACCAAGAAAATAGGTAGTTGGAGGTGTTGTTTCAAGGCATTCGATAATACACTCTTTGAGCATTCCAGTAGTTACGCTAAGCAAACCAGAATGTTCACTAATCTGGTACAGATGCAAAATAATCAGATATCTACCTTCCATGTTAAACATTTCAATGTATTTTTGAAAAACGTGTAGAGCTTTACTACGTTCTTCGTCGCTATCACAATACATCATCACTTTCACAAGACTATCAAGTACATCAGAGTAAACGTTCAATTCCAATAACTGTGATGTCAGAGAATATCTTGTTATTTTTCTTAAAAGGTGACCCATAAGGTGTAATCCTTTTCTAATAGTAACATTCTGTTGTTCTTGTACTAATTTAATGATAAGATATATACATGATTGAAAAATGTATTGAGAATCGTATACGTGCGGTACTTTCTTCCACAACTGCAATTCTGTTATGGTGTGAAAATAAAGATTGGCATATGCCAAATCTGATATATTCTCGTTCAATTCAAAAAGCAAGACTTCGAGATTACAACTTTCTTTATATATATTTTTATTTTTAGAGCAACTTCTTTTACTTCTATTATTAACAACATTTAAAAACCAAAGAAGATCTCCTTTGATACGACTCAATAGCGTTATAATTTTCTCTGGTAAATGCTGCTCTGAATCTGACTTGGGTTTTTCTGGTAGATAACACAGTGGTTTCCCCATTAAAAAAATCAAGATACACGCAAGATAATTTCTTAATACAGTATTGTTTTGAGAATTATCATTCTCCAATGCTACTTCATCTATCAGTGGTTCCAGAAATCTTATAATCGTATCATAAACATTTTTAATTTTATTCTTGATAATTGTAATGTCTTGGGAATCTACTTCTGGAACTGGTAAGCTTTCTACGTAAGAGCTTATCGTACTGACACACCATTCTATTGCTTTACTTTTATCGTTCATTTTAGAAAGGCTCTTACCGAGTACCCTTAAGATTATACAAAACTTTGTGTCATCTTCCGAGCTATCCACTTGTTCCAAAAATTCTAATACAGTCTCGCAAGAATTACATTTCTCTGCTATAGCATCTAATATCATTGTGCAGCATTCAATTGCTTTTCCATTATGTTTCGCATTTTCCTTAGTAAGATAAGACGATGCAATCTGTACAATTTCCCAGGAAGTCTCTTTAATGATATCATCGTAACTTCTGTCCTCGAACAAATCCAAAGCTTCTTTGAACTTGTTTTCTTTTAAAGAGACAGCCAGTCTGTCGATAAACTTCTTTGTTACGTTCTCCTCAGGCTGCGACATGTTTCCATCGAATAATATTATCGACGACATAACCTATCATCTCGCTCCGTTTGCTGTTATCATCTTCGTGGTGTCATCGAGATATCTCAATGTATTTATTCTTGAATCGGTAGCAGATCAAGAAATATATATATATAAAATCTTTATACTTTATTACGATAAACACATCATAAAACAATGCAGGTTATGTAGTCGCCGAGATTTGAAAAAGTATCACGCTTCGCCCGTGTCATGGACGCTAGAAACGATACTGTATAATACTCTCGTCAAAGTAACAGTGAAATATATATAAAATAGAAATTGCGCGAATCAGCGCAATCACCGTACGTATCGAACGGCTCGTAACATTTTTCTTAAAAGTCCGACAGTGTTCGTACGAAAATTCTACCACAAATACCAAAACCAAAATTATCCTCGTACGAGTTGCGAATGGCATACATATTATTAATAAAAACAGTTCGCTTACCGTTTATCGAAAGACCCTTTCGGATTAAGAAAATGCTAGGCATAGCCATACTCATAATAGTTTTAAATAAACTACTTGTCGCGCATTTATGCTTGACGCGATGAAACAGCGATTATTATTATTCTATAGTATATTTCATTAGACGAAGTGGTTCCAAATAGAACCACGTGATTGCAATCTAGTTTACCTACTATTGGTAAAAAATGCACAGGGTACTCTTTACAGAGGTAAAACGGAACGAGTCTCGAATTAGAGAACGCAGGAGTGTCGCCAATTTAATTTGGTTAGAGTCGGTTCCATTTTACCACCTTTTACATCGATTGCTAGTCCCCCCACTTTTTCAATATTAAAAGCGTGTGGCAGCCATATTGAAATCCAACATCTCAGCAAAATAGACCACGCCCCTCAGCTCAAAAGAGCAGAAAATTCAAACTAGAAGAAAGCCTTTCATAATAAACGATAGTAATTTTGATAGTAATTTTATTGGCAACAAACAAAAATTTGTTCTTAGCTTCGTTTCAATGTGACATAAACGTTTGTATTTTTCGAGAGTAGTTCATAATAATAAATGATTGAATATTACTGTTCCGGAAGAAAAGTCGAAAAATTAGATCATTCGTGCAATCATAATATGTTTAGATTACTATGTCGAGACGCATAATAATGAATGTCGGTTCTAATTTGAAACTAATTTTTTGTTTCAACACTACTCTATGGTTTACACCAGAAGTTACAGAGTTGGTGTAAAGCTTACATTGTAAACGATCATTTTCGTCCCTCGAGGAGAAAGTCACTAAGATCCCCCTCTTCGTGACGCAGGTGATTTTTTTCGAATTAGTTTGAATCCACCCTTGCCAAGGATTAGGAAAATAACATTTCCCTAGAATGTTTCAGTCGTATCATGATTCTAACAATGAGCTCGTTTCGTTGCGGTTTTATGTTCGAAATATCGAAATGAGCAACGTCGTGGCTCGCTTACATCTATCGCGGTTTCAGGGCATTAACGTGAACGGTTCGGAAACGGGTATTCGAGGTGCGTGTACAAAAAATGTGAAGCAATAGCGTAAGAAACGTTGCGTTACATATGTATGTAAACATTACGCAATACTAGCGGTTTCCAGGGGAAACGTATCCGACGAGGCACCGCGAAATTGTAAATCGTGTCGCGTGAACGCGGTTACGGTATTTAGGAAAGTGACACGGTTTTATTGCGAGTGGTGAGCGAGTTCTCTGTGGGAAGCCAGCGACCGTGTGTTATCACGGCTGGAGATTTTCCGCGTGAAATGTCAAAATGGCGTCTTCGCAGGACGCTTGGTATCTGTCGTTGTTAGGACTAGCAGAAAACTTTCGGACTTCGAATCCGCCGAATATTAAATCGTGCATACAGTGTTTGCAAGCGGTATTCAATTTTAAACCGCCTCCGAGGGTCGAGGCGCGTACTCATCTTCAGCTTGGTAACATCCTCCTCACGCATACCAAAAACATCGATTTGGCGCGATCTCATTTAGAACAAGCGGTAAGTTTCACTGTTATTCGCGTCGTAATCCCTCGCACGCAGCGGTCTTTAATGTTATTTTTCGTTCTTAACGTGCATCTTTGCGTAAATTTCCGTATTTCTTTCGGTGGTGATTCTAACCTGTCTTTTTATTTTGGTACCGTCGGTAACGTAACGACCGCTGGGTGGGATAGCAACTCGAGCGACAATCTCGTCCTTTGTACTTCTATAAAGTATCGTGATCTCGAGGATTAGTTTCTAATCGAAATTTATGTTGCGTTCCAGTGGCGGCTGAGTCAGAATATAAACACCTTCGATGATGTTAAGTTCGAAGCAGCAAGCGTAGTCGCAGAGCTCTACGAACAGCAGCAACAACCAAATCTCAGTAAACCGATACTGCGGAAAGCTATCGAACTCTCGCAGCACAATGTATATTGGCACTGCAGACTTATTTTCCAACTTGCAGTGAGTTATACATAATTTTTAGTAAGTATAATTTATTCGAGAAACGTTGGTTAATCTTTTGTATTTTTCAGCAAATACACGCGTCGGAAAAAGATTTCGTCGCTGCCAGTAGTCTACTCGCAGTAGGTGTCGATTACTCCCATATCAGCAACGCGAGTTACACGCGAGTTCTGTTCTTACTGAGTCGATGTATGCTTTTATTGATAGACAAAAAATTTACCGAGGTTCATCCCCTGTTAAACTCGGCGGGACACCATGTCGAAAATTGGCAAGGTAGCCCGCACCAAAAAGAATATTTAAAAGTATATTTTTTGGTACTACAAGTTTGTCATTACTTGATGGCAGGTCAGGTAAGCGCGAAATTGTTTATTATATATGAATTTTGTATTTTGTTTGGTAAATTAATGTAAAAAAAATTTTCGTGTATACTTTGCTGTAGGTCAAAAGCGTGAAGCCTTGTTTAAAACAATTACAACAGAGTATACAGACTATAATGTCTCCGAGTTGGCCGGCGGATGAAATAGTCACTGGTTCGAATATCGGGGATATGTTCATATGGATGCCAAAGGACCATTTATACGTTTTGGTTTATCTAGTAACAGTTATGCATTCTATGCAAGCCGGTTACATGGAAAAGGCTCAAAAATATACAGACAAAGCGTTAACTCAAATTGAAAAACTCAAAAGTAAATATAGCGTAATGTTTTTCCGTTATTTCGTCAACATGTCATGGTTAATGCAATAACTGTATTATTTTATAGTTGTAGACAACAAACCTATACTATCCGTTTTTCAACTAATGTTGTTGGAACATATAGTGATGTGTCGGCTCGTGATGGGAAATAAGAGCGTGGCTCTCGCAGAAATTTCTCAAGCTTGCCAGCTTTGTAGGAGACAGCCAAGGTTACTTCAAGGTCATAGACCACAATTGCACGCTTTGTTAGGATTATACGCGATGTCAATGAATTGCATGGAAGCTGCGGAAGCTCAATTCACGGCTGCTCTCAGAGTAAGACGATGGAAATATGAAAATTATTTATCTAAATTATATTTTTTTTGCTTTTGTAATGATGTACAATTTGTTTCCTTCAACAGACGTCGCAAGAAAGAGAACTTTGGACATTTGCGAATTTAAACCTGGCGATAGTATATCTTAGAACTAAAAGGGATGCGGAATTAGGCGCATTACTCGAACGAATTAATCCTGAATCCTTACCGTCTCATTCGCATTCTTTGAGAGCAGCAGCATATTACGTGCAGGGATTGCAAGCGTTTTTTGGAGCTAGATACAATGAAGCAAAGTATGAATCGATATATTGATTTAACGCTTCGTTATACGCTATAAATTACTAAATGTATCGATACGTTTCGTAGGAGATACCTCAGGGAAACACTGAAGATGGCTAACTCCGAAGATTTGAACAGACTCACTTCGTGTAGCCTCGTACTTTTAGGACACATATTTCTTTCTTTAGGGAATAGCAGAGAATCTATGAACATGGTTACACCTGCGATGCAGTTAGCTTCTAAAATACCTGATGTTCACGTACAATTATGGGCTACCGCTATACTCAAAGGTACAACTCGATTTTCAATTACTTATCAAAAGAAGGCACGTATTTTTTTTATTAAGAAACATCTGTTTCAGATCTTTACAGAATTTGTGGAGATCCGAATCGCGAAAGCGAAGCATATCAAATGCACTGCAGTTTCTCGCAAACGCTCTTGAAAGATCACTTTCAAAGTACACAAATGGGCGAGCATTCTCTCATACAGTGGACCGATGGACCCGTGCCTGCCTTACCAAGTAATCCGCCACCTTCCACGTCGCAAGCCATTCTTTAATAATATCAAGAACTCCTATACTTTACGTATTCGAAATTTGTAAAATATTTGACGAAGTACAGAAAATATACTAGGTTTGTACAATCGCGTTGTCCAAGTGCAGAATGAAAAATAAAATGCGACGTATTGATAGAGAGAGGAGCACATGAGCTCTTTAAACGGTGAATAAAATCGATTATCGTATTGCGAGAATAAATTTAATTGTTTAGCATGGGTATTGATCGATATCCAAACATGCTGTTTGTCATTCGAATATTTTTAAACGTTTACGAAGTTTACGAAGACAGAGTGGGTAAATTTTTATTCGCGAGGCACGAATAAAGTTTTATCCGAGTAAAAGTTTATACGTGGATTCTTTATTGCGTTAAGATTTATTTGGGAGTCTTTTTATTAAGAAAAAAAAAGTGAAAGTTATTCAGTGAAATCTTGATTTATCACCGACAAGCACTGCGAATAACGACTATTCGGGTAATTTATTCGAATAATGCCCATCTCTGTATAAAGGTTATATATGTATAGGTTTGTACAAACAACTTATCGTAGTTGTTTTCTATGTCACGGAGGGACGCAAAAGGTGAACATATGTACAGAACTTTGATATATTTTATTATTTTGTACATTGTAAATTATCTGAAACGCGTTTTTTTTTCCGTAAGTGTACATTTACAAAGCAGAAAAAAAATTCTTCAACGTATTCATCACATCATCGCACAAAGACTTTATTTTTAATGCAATTTTATTTTTAATTTATATTGTAAACCTAAATTTCGTTGTAACAAGAGTTAGGGATACACGTTTATCTTACTTATATCAAAGAGTATATTTGAACATATGTCGACGAATGTTGAGAAATTGCGTTTTCTACGAAAGATAACTTTCATCACTTGGTTTTTCTTCTACGTCTCGGTTGCTCTCTACGAAAGATGTATCTGTGTACGATATCCCGAAAAAGTAGATAAAAAGAGTAATATTAATATTTTACGCTGTACGTTGACTGTATTAAAATATTTTTTTCAATTTTTAAGTGGCACGTCTTTAGGTTTAACGCATTGGCAAGTATGTCTTCGATTAGGCTTCGAACTGAGACTGATCAAATTTATTACAGCACGAAAATACGATACGCGTAAATATGTCGAACACTTATCCGAAAAGTCAAACTCAAACAAGTTTCAAAACGTCTTGCGTAAGAGATGCGAATCATTAAAAAAATGTTACAGTAAATTATCAACAGGTTATCGATTATATGTCTGACATACAGGGCTCATTCAATGACCAATGTAGACGTTTAAAATTTGGGCTGTGGATACGACAAAAATACAGTATATCCGTAAAAGTGTACTCTTGTATATGGAAAGATGAAATAGTAGGTACAACAGGTTGCAGGATGTTTCGAAAAAAAAAGTCGTACGGTGCGTGTCGATTGTTGTGTTTTTATTAAACAGTGTATGTATGTAATGTATAATTAAAATAAAACGCAATCGTACGTAGTATTAGATAGAGCAATATATAAAGAAAAAACTAAAGGGGCCTTAATATGTGGTAAGCTAAGTGGCAAAGATATTCCGTCTAACTCTTTGCTTTGTTTAAATTAAGATGTTGTACATAATTTAAATAGTAAAGATAATAAAGAGTAAAACAGAGAAAAATATAACGAATTACATGTCTGTAAAAATGTTCTACTGTTTTTTGTGTAATGATATATTCATGACCAAGGAAATTATATTGTTGGAACTAATATTATCACTTTTGAGTTTTTTTATTCATAGTATTTACAAATAGCTTTCAATGGTTGTAAATAATGACGAAATTGATGAGAAATGAAAAGAAACCTTTAGACAAAAATATGGTTACATAATAAATTAAGTCATTTCAAGAAGCAAGTATCACTTTTAATCGTTATTTAAAATAATTCGTGGTTTCATTTATTACCTTACTATATTTCATATTGTAATAAAATTATTTATACATAAATTGCTACAATTATCAGATATTTATTAGTTCCTGTACCAAACTTGCGCAGTTTTCATATTTTTGACCTTCTTTTGTAATTGAAGGACACCATACAATAGAGCTTCTGCCGTTGGGGGACATCCTAAATATGTGCATAAATACAAGTATGAATTTTTTCAGAAACAAATGGTTGCACAAAAATATAGAATGCATATTTTACCTGGTACGTATATGTCCACAGGTATAATTCTGTCACATCCCCTCACAACAGAATAACTGTAATGGTAATATCCACCTCCATTGGCACAGCTCCCCATAGAAATAACCCATCGTGGTTCAGGCATTTGATCGTATATTCTCCTCAATGCTGGAGCCATTTTGTTCGTAAGCGTGCCAGCTACTATAATAACATCCGATTGCCTCGGGGAAGCTCTGAATACCACTCCATATCTATCCATGTCGTATCTTGGAGCAGCAATGTGCATCATTTCAACAGCACAACAGGCCAGACCGAATGTCATTGGCCATATAGATCCCTTACGACCCCAGTTTAACAGATCATCTAATCGTGCTACTACGTACTCTCCCATGCTGTTAGTATTTTGGAAGGGACTATAAGGTTTCCTTTCAATTTTGGCTGGAGTTGTGCTCGCATTCCGGGCTTGGATCACCGAAGACGCTGAACATCCTGACGTCCCTATGTTAGCGCGTATCAGGGATGCCAGGCCCTGATTCATGGTGGCTGGAAACCAAATTGAAAATGTTCATTCATTTTGACTACCAAGTTTTACTCGGTAATTGTTCATTTTTGTCAATACCGAGCATCTAAGTTTCTTTATTAGTATTCGAGCATCGAGTATTATATTTGCCGAATATTCGTTCGGTTCATTTTAATTCGCGAGGTTATGAAACACTCTGCAATGTAACTTGATACAGTAGTCCATACTAAGAGTAGCAAAAAAATTAATTTAATTTAGTCCATTTAAGTTGCCGCATCTTATGCAATGTGAACTGTTAGGTAGAATTAGGCATAAAATAGATACACGGCAAAACATGTAAAAAGAATATATATGTATGTCACGATAGAACTGAACAAAAATAAAGAATAGTATGTTTCAGTTAAACGTTTTATAGGAATATTTTTGTAACTGATAGGAGTGATTGAAAGGCTTTTAAAGACAAATTGCGAAGAAACTTACGCGAAAACATAATAGTGCGAAGCATTTTTAACCCAGCGACACACTCACGTCACGGAGTTGTCTACTGCTCCACTGCGAGTCTGCGCCCCGGTGCATTGGATAATGTTTACAACAGCTTGAAACATTATCTATATCAGATTCGTATTTTAAGAATATTTATTTTCATTATGCGACTAAAGAGATGTGGTTACACAAGTAACATGAATTCTTGGTTAGTCGTATTCGACGTTTATCTTTGTACATCGTATTTGTCGATGTTCATCGTTATACGGAATAAAGCTACATTTCGAAAAATATCATTTATGTTTGCATTCAAATTGATTTAGTGTTGCTAGATCTGCAACATATCGTTTATGACGGGCTAACGTTTCTAAAGCGCAGTAATATTACAAGGAATAGTTTTTTAATAAGGGAAGAATTGTAACCTAAAATACGGATTAATTTTCACTTTCATGTTATTCGCCACCTAGCGGTCAAGTTAACGAACTAATTTCGGAGTTTGGTCAGCGCCTCTATCGGGAAAATGCCCAAGTTTGTCCTCGATTAGTTTCTATTTTCACTGCTAGATGGCGTTATTTTAAAGGTATTTACCGACACCTGTTGGTAAATTACCATCATGTCGGTAAAAGACAGTATAAATGAAGCCATCTAGCGGTGGCAGCTGGAACTATTCGAGGGGCTGACCAAACTCCGAAAAAGTAGTTCGCTAAAAAAAAGAAAAAAAAGTATATATATATATATATACATATATAACAAGACAGGAATTAAATTAACCTATCAGAGATAATAATTGTAATGTATTCAGACAATTAGTATAATCATGTAAATATGTATAAAGGGGTAAATAGTCCGAGTATTTCAATTCAATTCAATTAGTTCGCTATATAGGAAAAGGAAAAATATATATAGAAATGAAAATGTGTTATGAGATTGCTAAACTTAAATTAATAAGAAACAAAAGTATATAATGTTTAAAAAAAAAAAAGATCCTGTATTTTGGTTAAATTGATCGTGTGTTCTAAAATAATCAATTTCGAAATCAACAGAGAACATCGCCGGAACTGCGTTATATTGTTTCGGAATATGTATTAATTTTCCCTGTCCACTGTCTGATGTTTGATCCATTTGCATTTTCATTAGTCTTTTTAGACATTTCTCAGAAGACGATCGTACGAATGATAAGACAAACTAATTATCTCTAGTCTCGTTTCCGCAAATTGGTAATCGACAAGTTGAATGCCTAGGGAATTTAAGTGTTACGTTTTGCCTAATATTGGAAGTTCTGGATGGTGTGGCTTTCCTTTTCCATAAATCGTTTTACCCAGATTGTCAGTTACAACAAAACACATTCAGTTGATCTTCGTGTGAAAGATTGTTAAATCGAGCCCCTTCAATTATTTCCAAAACGTAACAATCCGTAAAAATCTATAAGAACACGATAAAACACTTTCAGTACGCGTAACGGAGCCGGGAGCATTGATATATCATGGGCGAATTAGCAAACGAAGTTCAAACTTTGAAGGAGGATTTTCCAAAGTTTTCGACAAATGATAGCGACAATGATGAATTAATATTTTTCTCATCTATAGATGAGGTCACGAAAGAATGGTTAAAATCGCTAAATCATATATGGCAATTGTGTAAGTATAATTCGTATTATGACAATGTTAATCCAGCAAAACGTTAATTATTCAAACTAACAGGACGACAAATTCTTTTTGATGATCAGTTCAAAAGATCAAAGTTGCAATTATCGAATAGGATAAGAATATAAAGAAAACTGATCTTGAAAGATGCATGTTTATCTTGGTTTTGTACTTTTATGAACATTTGTCGTAGTTTGTATTCCATTAATTGTTATTTGGATATTCAACGTTTTACTGTATTGTTATTATTATTATGGTTTCTTTATTTTCAATGCTTTATTTGTCGCATATTTTTACAGGGAAAAAGTGTGACGGTGTAACCAAATTCTTGACAGATTATTTTGAAAGCGCGTCAAACCCATATTTATGCACAATAAGAATATTAGTAAACACTACAGATTTTAAACACATGAAATTGAACTCCTCGTTAGCATTTACAGGTTTAATTTTTATGGCAATTCTTATATACATTATTCATTCAACAAGCAAAGCTTACCAATTAATACATAGAAACATTGCTGTCTCGATACTACAATAGTTAATTTAATAATCCACATTATATTACAGTCATAGAAGAGTATGCAAAATGGTTAAAACCACGAAAAGACATGTATAAGCATTTTTTGGTGCTTGATCTAAAAATAGCGACATTTAAATTAATTAGTAAGCAAACAAATATGCAATTTATCAAATTGGTTGCAGAAACATATGACTTTATAGAGCATAAAGAAGACTTCATTCAAATAATAGAGGTATAATTACAATACAAGCAATTTAATGCATCATAATTAAACAGGATATAATATCTATATCCTTCCAGCAAATGGTTCAAGAAAAAAAGTATAAAGAAGCAGCACAGTATGCAGTTATGCTGGAATTGCAAAATTATTTTGATGATATTGAATCATTATTGTTACCACTTATTTTGCAAAACAAATTAGCAATTGTGGAAGAGTTTTTAGCGGATTGTCCAGAAATGCAGAATGCTTTAGTCCAGTACCTGGACAATTTACTATCTCCGGATAGTAACATGCATACGAAATTGAATTCAATAATTCAGTAAGTTTCGATGATTCACTGAAGAGGAACAAGCATAATAGTATTCTTCACTTATTATAGAAAAAAACAGATACCAGATGTCAAAATGTCGACGTCGCATACAAAACCAATGACGAAGCTGGTAGGACGATTCGTCAAAATGTACAATCTTCCACTTGAAAATTACCATAATTTAAATAAGAAACGAAGCGAAGGCACTGTACACTTCCTTATACATAAACGTTATAACGATGGCTCTTTTAGTACGAACGTTTCTTAAACCAGTGTTTCTCAAACTTTACTTTCCCGTGTATTCAATAAATATAACAAGAATTTTTGATAGACTTATTCGAATGAAATTAATACTACTTTTTAAATAAAATTGCAAATCTTGAGTTTGAGAATCACTACCTTAAACAATAGAACAGTCTTTAAACATTGTAAACGAAACGTCGATTATTTTTTAATCAAGGTACTGCAAGTTGGAGGGAAATGGCCCAAGAGGCAGTGGGAAACGATAGACAAGTACAACTCGACATGATAAGAATGTTGATAAATGTAAAGGATGCTAAAGAAGGCTTATATTGGGCTAGACACTTTGATATACCTAAAGAACAGTGGCCCTGGGCAATTGCATATGAAGCTGAGCTAAGTGAAACTAGAAGTAATGGTCATTCTTCGTATTTCAATTTTTCTTAGTTGATCGTGTACGATTTTATAAAATTATGCCGTGTAGGAATAAATGATGGAGCTTCCACAAGCAGAATAGATGAGAACGATTGGGAAGACTCTGACGATTTCGCGAATTACCATGAATTAAAGTTACCCAGAGAATCTATTCAAGTCGTAAACAATGAGAGAAGTTTCGAAGACTTTCTTGATAATGGACTTAGGGGTGTCCGTATAGTTGGTATCGATTCCGAATGGAAACCGAACTTCGGTAATATTTTTAATTATATCTTGTTAGTAATGAAACTCAAAGTAAAAAGTAATCGCAATATTTTTATTGATTTATTAGGTACGAAACAGACTGAATTGGCATTGATTCAAATCGCTACTGACACAAACGTGTACATCTTAGATGTAACGACTATGGGAACGAAATCGGAAAACTTATGGACTGAGTTAGCTTTAACTCTTTTTGAAAATAAAAGTATATTAAAACTCGGTAAGTGACAATTAGTAAAAAAACTGCTCTAATGTAGTACAACTCGAAATTAAATTAATCGAGATCACTGTATTAAGAATATTCTTATTTTTTAATAAGAAAAACTAGATAACACTTGCGATATGTTTTTGAATTATATTTAAATAATTTCGTGATATAGGATTTGGTATATCTCATGATATGACAGTCATGCACAATACACTGCCTGTGTTGAAAAACGTAAAAACATATGGGGAAGGCTACTTGGATATCGTAGAATTGTGGAAAAAATTAGTAGGAGATTACAAATTTGTATTTCCACATGAAGGTGATAACAATGTCACCAAAAAAAGTTTAAGTAAACTCGTGGAACTTTGTCTTGGCAACAGACTAAATAAGTCCGATCAGTTTTCAAATTGGGAGCAAAGACCTCTGAGAGAGAATCAAATAATGTATGCAGGTTTGTAATTGATTCTTCTAAGTATTTAAATATTTAAAATATATGAAAATCAAATACAATTAAAATATCATTCTTACAGCTTTAGATGCATACTGCTTGTTAGAAGTATTTTCCGTTTTGAGAGATCAATGTGATAATTTAGACATACCGTTTACGGATATTTGTGCTGAAATGCAGCAAATTAAAAAAATATCGCCGAAAAAAAACACGAAGAAACCTATGCATAAGGCAAGCATATGTCTTTATTCGTTACTCTGTAAGGAGGTAAAATGTTAACAGTCAGCTACACGTGTTTATACTTTATACATATTTTGTTACAGCTTCATAGATCGATGAACGGAAAAGTAAAGTTCGATAAACAATCTGATTTCCAAAGAAATCGACCAAATCGAAAATCAGAACACGTACAAGGGTTTAACAATGGAAATTCGATACAGAAGTATAAGCCAGAAATGACCAGGTTTG